TCTTTACTCCGTATATATTATATATTAAGCTTTGATCTTCTTTCCCTCTTTACTTACATACGTAGCTTAGATGTATCGCTTTTTACTTTCAAACGCGGTTTGGTACGCGGACTAGCTCGTGACGCGCACCCGCCTAGTAGTGCACGGGCACTGCCGCACTACAGCTGCAGATCGGCGGCCCGTCTAGAACCGTTTTATGCAGGGCGCATCAAAGTTCAGCTGAAAAGCAATGCATCAGCCTATCTCCACGAGTCTACTACCGCTGCCCATTGCCTTTGCTTGGCTGGCTGAACATTTAAAATTGTCTGGCCTTCGATAGAGCTGTCGCTAATTGGTTGGCATTAAAGCGGTGAGAAGATACTACTGTACCTCTTTACGAGCGCCACAGATTGTCATTCTGGATGAAGCGAGTGAGGACCTAGGTGAATGCAGCTCTCAGCAGTATAAGTAACGGGTTGAGGAAGCAGTCCTTACAGTTCCATATCCCTCACTTAGATCTTGTTTACGGCATGAATTTTAATCAACCTCCCATGCAGAGTGGTTTCCAAGACACCACCTTGAAGCCTTCTCCAAAACGCATCGTTATTTGCTGCGATGGCACATGGCAGTCGTCCGTTACTAACGTAGACAATGTTCCGTCAAACATAACCCGGATCGCACGATACCTCCTTAAGGTCGGCAAGGATACAAAAGGCGAGCAATGGCAGCAGCTTGTTTACTACGATGCCGGCATTGGTACAGGTGCTAGCTCCGTTGAAGCCGCCCGAGAAGGTATGACGGGCTCTGGTTTTGTTGGCAATGTCATTGAGGCGTACAACTTCATTGCATTGAACTACAATCCCGGTGATCAGATCTTCTGCTTCGGATTCTCGCGTGGCGCCTATACAGCGCGTGCTGTTGCTGGGTTAGTCACAGACATCGGCATTGTCAAGCCGCGAGATATGCAGTACGTTCATCGCTCATTTGTTTGCTCTGCTCTCGCTCCTCATGTTTCGTCGTAAAACATAATGATCACCGATTTACTTTTGGATGTAGGGACTTTCCGGAACTGTACCGTACCTATCAGCGCTACAAGGACAGCAACATGTTCAGAAAGTCAAAGGCATGGCGCGAATGGGTCAACGGCGTGCGCCTCTTCGATACAGCTCAGAAAAACCTTCCTGAAGGATTTAAACAATCTCCATACCAATGGGAGAAACGACCTCATGGTGCAGCACCAGAGTCAACTCGGTGGGTTGAAGCCGTAGGTGTCTTTGATACCGTTGGATCCCTCGGTGTCCCGGATGTAGAAGGCTGGTTCAGGTATACCATCAACTTCCTGGCTCAAAAAATCCCTGCCGAGGAATTTGGCTTCCGAAATGTCGCACTCAGCCCATGTGAGTTCTATGTATAACTCGACTTGCCGAGATTTGGTGTACTAATTCTCGTCCAAAGACATCAAGCACGCGTACCATGCGATGGCCCTGGACGAGCACAGGAAGCCGTTCGATACCACAATGTGGCATCTCTATCCAGGTGACGGCACAGCAAAAACTCATAAGCCAGTATCTGAGCTAAAAGAGAGACTGGAAAAGCTTCGCGACACGCATGGCACTCCTGAAGCCGAGATTCAGAAAGCTTGGGAAAACCTCGTTGACGCTGAAATGCACGAAGAGCTCAAAGGCAGCAATTCGAAGCTGAAGCAAGTCTGGTTCCCTGGCGTCCACATCAATATTGGTGGAGGAAGTGATGATGTCTTCAAAGACAAACTAGGCGACTTTGAGCGTGAGTCAAACCAAGTACTGTCTATTAGATGAAGTAACTCACCAAGTGCCAAACAGAAATCTCTACTATCACGCTCGCTTGGATGTTAGAGCAACTCAAAGAGCATCTCGCTTTCGAACTGAACGGCGTAACCCTCTTGAACCAAGATCGCCTCTTCCTCTTGCAACCCATCATCGAAAGTCTCCTCGGCGATCACGCTAAGTACAAAAACAACTGGCTCGTCAAGAGAATCGACAACATACTCGCAAAAGACAGAACTGACCCTTGGAACGACGGCAACAAGACGCGTTCCAAGGTGCTCGCGGCCGAAGCGCTGCAAGGCTGGGGAACGGGACCCATCGTCGACAGCTTCGAAGGTAATATGAAGAAAGCCGGCTCAAAGTACCGCACACCAGGAGAATACCGTGACGAGAACCCTCCTCAAGGCGCAATAGGAAAAACGGAGGAGGAGATCCATCCCACTGTATGGTACAGGATGCAGCAACTAGGCAATGAGTATCAGCCCGTACCACTTAAGGGCTTCAAGCGCGAACAGAACAAGAGCGCGGATGGCATGAGCTTCGAGTGGGTGAAAGGCAGCTTGCGGATCCCGGAGTCCAAGATTGCTGGTATGCAAAGTATTGAGATGGCGTGCCTGGTTGGTGACACGGCGAAGAAGTTCATGGGTGGCTTGGAATGGGAGTATGGTGTTGATTTGTAGGAGGTGAAGGCTGTAGATGGACCACTTGAGGCGCCGGAGTCGAGACAGAATCATGGGTTGCAACGTCATTAGGGTTTCTAATCTGGTCGAAGAAGATCGCGAGCAAACAACCACATACGACTGGTTCATAGACTGGATCTAAGCATACCGAGCGCATGCTATGTTTTAAGCATATTCCCATGTTCTTTTGTATATGGTACTGTACCACAAGTCCTTAAACGACATAAGCTGGTTCTGACAGTGAAGAAGATGCCAATTGTTTAGTGTGCTTATAGCAAGGGATATCATGCGTTACTCTTGATGCCCAGCACGCTCTCTGAAGCGAGCTCACATTGGCGCACAGCTCATTGCCTTTCCGCTTTCTCGTCACTATTGAAGGTAACAATGTAATCGAAAGCATCGTCACATCTGGAAACGCCAACGTGCAGCATACTCTTAGCTGCGAATGTGCCCTCTCTGGAAGAGATGATGGGGAGAGTAGCAAGCTGTCTTGCGGGAGCGGAAGCAACACCGCGTGCGAGGACCTTGCAGTGATATTAGGAATGAGACCTTTGATGATAGAAAAGCCCTGCGTACCGGTACCATCGACGTTGAAGATAGCAGGTGTGGTATTAGAAGACATCTAGGTGGTGTCTTAGAAATGTTGTTTCTACACAATTTTATAGTCAGTCCCAGTCATCTCTCAAACACCTGAACCATTCTTCATAGAAACAAACTATATATATGACTTCAAGTGGCTTTCCAAACATTGTTCAAATATTCCTCTGCCGAGATGAATTTGTAATCGGGCAGCAATCTGTTCCATTCATCGCTGATAGATCAACCACCAGCGGCCAGAGATTTGACATATTCTCTCGTTACGTTCTTCGAGAACATCTCCCTGTACACATCTGGAAGGGCTTTATGTTCAATAATGGGATACCATGACGCCTTCAGCTCCCCCTTGTTAACGTCATCCGGGACCAGTCGTTCGATCTGGAAAGGACCTGATAGTCTTTTAGCATTACCAACAACAAGCTTAGTAGTGATTTACCTCGAATGCGTTCTGCAAGTCTCAGAAAACCGGAAATCGTTGTCTGGGTTCCCCGTATACCTCCAGTTGTGGGCCACCTGCCCCTGTAATCCAGTGCAAGAGCCACAACCTTAGCCATATCTCCGACCGTCGTGAGTGTGAGTGGGGAATCCTCCGCTCCCTCTAGTATGATAGCCCGGCGATACTCAAAGTCGGCAAACATCTTGAAGCTTTGAAGGTGGCTGGCCGTTGCGTTTGGTTCTGCGAAGTATTCGGTGAAGAAGCCGGGTTGGAAGAGGCAATATTCGATTTGCTATATAGTCAGCTTAATACACGTCAATGATACCGGTGTTATTTGCTTACATCTTGCTCTTTGTTTATTGCTTCGAGGTACTTGCGCGTTTCATCCTTGTATGCGTAGTGAGCAATGCCACTTTCCGAGCGCCTTCGCGATGTTATGTTAGTACTTCGATACTGTGGGATCTCGACTCGACGTAAATCAAAAATCATGACGACCATTCAGATGAGGCGAACCTTTGTACGCTCGCTTCGATAGCTGCGTGGATCAACACCTTTTGCAACTCAAAGGCCGCCTCCATGTCAGCGGTTGCTACAAAAGACAGCAAGGTATCGATTCCGTCAAGAGCTACTACGAGTAAAGCATGGCTGTGATATTTGACCTTTCTCCATTCAACGCGTGTCGTCTCACTGTCTACAGCATCCTATCATAATTAACACCCTGGCAGCGAGATAGAGGAGATTTACCAACTCTTCGACTCAGAACTACAACTTTGTAGTTACCCCGAGACAAGATTGCATATACCACCTCTTGAGCCACATCTGTATCGACTATCAAAGCAGTTCTGAACGAACGTATATGTAGACTTACTACCAGAACCCCCAGTGATGGCAACCTGCTTTGACATGACGCTGTCTGATATTCGAAGATGAATCCTTACTTTCCTACCTGCCGCAAGAGACTGTGGTGAGTTTCAACATCAGAAAGCTCACTACCCAGTCTTCATGCATTAAACGATATTGCGTATCTCTGGTTCCGGCAACAATGTTGTGGTCGATCCCGGACGAAAAAGGTCGGACACTTTGGCGTCGATATACCACGTGGAAGAATTCAGGCAGATTCGAAGTTTCAGACACGGCTATATATGTGTGCGGGTGGATCAGACAGCTTCCGGACTTGTGTCCACTAGAAACACACCCTCTCGATGGCGACTTGGCTGTACTTGGCGATCTAACTTTGCTTACATAGACTTGGTACGCCGGCTTCTCTGTAAAGTTGAGTTGATGATCCTTGAGGGTTTTTGCTACCGCATCTCCGTGTACAGAATGTTGTCTGGATGCGCTTACATGATCAAGAGGATGTCACACATTCCTTCTGGTCCCTGGGCGATTGATCCCTCAATTTCATCCTTTTCTGTCTGAACGCGAACGTCGCTTACATGCACGTTTGTCAAACGACGAATACTACGTACGAAGTTCTATCGGACACCTCGATAGTCTTTCCACTTTCGTTCGCACGATTGGAGAATCTCGCCAGAAGGTCGATCTTGCCACATCCGCCACACATCTTGCACGCTTACATTCGCCGTCGCGTCAATCGCGAATACACCTGTGACAAAACCAAACTGAACATGTTCTCCTTCTGCACTCACCTCGTGTTGCGCAATTGGTATGAGGGTGCGTTGCGCGATGAGATTCCTGTGCGTGTCTGGAGTCAGCTATCGCAATACGACTTTATGCATCCGCTGCGGAGGGTCTCCGTATGACCTGTGGTCCCCCTGAAATAGAAGCAAGACTTACGTGTTAGGGTCCGCACGAACAACCGTCGCCCTGCTCGAAACGAGCACGTTCGCTGATTCGTCGCGCAAGCTAGGATCCGTCAAATTGACAATACCGCTCGCGCCAGACTCTGAGAGTATGAGAGCGCTATCTCGGTCACTCCACCACCCGAACGTCTTTTCCTTGTGCTCGGCACCAGTGGGAAAGGAAGCACACGGCTTTTCGAAGATAGAAACATTATCTGCAGCCTGCGCACTTGCTGCGAAGCCACCTTCAACGATCTGCAGCCTTTCCCTCGCCGAGAGAAGCGTCGTGCACTTCACGTGGTGCACCCTCGCGCTCCACCCGGGCCATCTTCGCATAGGCGGTACTAGAAGCGTTTCAATAACCACATCCAGCCTTGCCCATGGCTTCCAGCGACTCATCAAGATCGGTACCCTCTCGCCGCACTCTTTCATGTACACCTCTCCAGTTTCGACATCGTAAGGGCTCCACCGTACCTTCCAGTCGTCTTCCTCGAGCCCAAGTGAAACTAGCAACGTCGAGTCCGGTGCTATCTGCTCTAGTGACAGACCGCATGGTACGCTAAAGCCAAAAGCAGAAGAGTAAGCAAGCTTACCATACTTGGCTTCGCGAGCCTTGAACCTTTTGGTGGTCGACTGCTCCGAAGACAGCAAAAATGTGTGCTCTCGAGTGTTGCACAGTATTTGGCGTGGAGGCCAGAGAACTTTGATGTCTCCAACTGCATTGTCGAGTCGCATAATGTCGTTCCTAATCCCTGGATGACCAAGTTCCTCTGCCTGCCAGAATGCATTCGTGTCATTCAGGCCGAGAACCAAGAAGCTTTTCAGGCACCAATATACCGATTGCGGCGAGTTGTAGTCCTCAGCAAGGTACATGTTTGGGTACGCAAATCCAATATAAGGCGTCCCATCAGTGTTGAAAATGTGTGGCTGTTTCGCCCACCACCGCAAGTGCCTGAGCAACAGGCCCTTCACCGATCCCATCTCCTTGATCGGAGCTGGGAGCTCAATGCCAGTGAATGCAATGGCTGCCCAGAAGGCCGCGAACGCGAAGCGATACGTTAGACTTCGCCCAAATGGAATTGCTGCACCTTGGGGGTCGAAGTACCTCCAATACTCCTTCCCAAACTCACGTGCTTGCTCTATGTACTTGGAAGTACGAGCTGAATCGTATTCCGGGGCAAAACGAATGTAGAGGAGTTGCGCAAACTGTATCGCGAAGCTCCCGCTGTAGTAATCGGCTTGTTTTCTTTGTTCGCACCAGAGACCGTCCGAAGACCACCCCTCGCCGATATCGAATGTGTCAAGTTTCTCCAAGCTTTTGTCGATATGCGCTTTCACCTCAACCAAGGGTACATGAAGCGTCTTGAAAAGCGCGATATTAACCAATACACGAAACCACAGCCAGTTGGTTTCAGGCATCTTATGCTCATTGATCTGCCGAAGCCATGCAATGAGATTGGCTTGAGTAGTTGGCTCACTGTCAAACGAGAACACAGTGGGATTTGCAAGCAGGGCAAAAGCGATGGACTCCATCTCCACCATGCGCTGGTCAAAGTCGGACAGATCGCCCCAGTATTCCGGACTCTGCGGGTCGGTTCCAGCTCGGATGCCAGTCACCCAAGGTTCTAGTGCACCTTCTAAGGGAGCACTCGTGCTCTGGTTGCTTTGTTGCTTGGGCTGGAGTAAGATGGCAACAGCCCAAAGCGGCCGCGCGAAGCCCTCGAGCTGAGCTGCCGTCTCGCTGAATCCGGCACCTGTGCATGTCGCAATTTTGATTCGTGCGTGGCCGGGTGATCTGTATTGGCCTAAAGGGCTAATGAGTGCAGAAGCTGCACGTATGAAGTCGTCTCTCGTGCGAAATTGATTATCAGAGAACCCAGGAAGGGGCGGCATATTGACGCAATGACTGTGCAGGGCCAGGTTGAGGGGATGTAATGATCACAGGAACAACAATTTCATAATTTCCTTCTAAGAGGCGTCGAGGTGCTTTATCATCCAGCAGCTCCTCGCTTCGGATAGACATATCGCGAAGATAGCCCGAGATCGCCAAGCCGTTAAGAATGTATCAACCGAGTTTTTAACCCCGAGACAGATACGCCCATTCCGACGATCCAGATAACTATAATCTTGTGGATGCTGGTATACTCCGGACCTCAAGGTCTACCTTCCTTCATAGTCTTGTCATCTGCAACCTCGATGTGCACTGCTTCTGGCTTGTTAAGCACATCTTCGTCCTCTTGCCTGTTGATATCAAACTTCTTAGTCTTCTCCTCGCGGCGCCAGAGGTACTGTCCAACCATAAAGAGAACCCAGTAACAAACGATGAAGACGATGTTGACAGTATAGCCCTTAGTCCATTGCGGCGCTTCCAGGATAGGAAATACAGTAATCGGATAGAAGGAGAAGAAGGCCCAGCCGATGGTCATCATTGCACCAGTTGTGAAACTTCGTGCTTCGTTGTCATCCTTCATTATCATGTTTACCCACGGAAACAGGATGGGGGTGACGCAAGATGTCAGGCCAAGCAGGTAATAACAAGTGACTGGAGGGATGTTAGCTAGGTCTTCGTACGCCTTGGAGATGACGTTACTCACAATGGAGGCCAAGTGGGATGTACCACACTCGCAAGCACACATTTGCGAAAAGCAAGATCGCTGTAACGACTGAAAAAACGATCCACATCGGATATATCATCACCAAACTAGTGATGAAAATGCCACAGACGATGGCCAGGCCCTGAACTCCGGTGGGGATGAGGTTGATCTCTTCGATGGTGTAGGTACCGTTTAGATCGGCTTCCTTCTTGAGCCAAGCTTGCATCTGACCACCAACGTAGCTCGTACATTGGAAGAAGACGTATGTCAAGACCGCGACGTAGAAGTGCCAGTGAGTGAATACGCGTTTAAGCATACGTTTGCCAATCTTGCCGCTCTGCTTCGTACCCTGGCTCTGCATGCGCGCGACGGCGAGCTTTCTCTCGTCTTCTGTCAGCCACCAAACCTTTGGACTAGTGGGAAGTCCAGGGTATAGGAAGAAGCCAGCGAGACCGATAGGCAAAGAGATGGATCCATCAATAATGAACAACCTGCAGTTGTGAACATACGAAGTCAGTGTATGTCTCCCATGCATTTCGTACAGACTTAACTTACCAGCGCCATCCCGACATCCCATGGACTCCGTCAAGGTTCTTGTGGGCAGCGGCTTGTAGATAGCCGCTAAACATAGCGCCAGCATTGCTCGAAACATACCAGACGCCGGCGCGCTTGAACACCTCATCCGCGCGGTACCAGGATGTGAGAAGATAGATCGAGCCAGTCGATGCAGGGGTTTCCAGAACACCGAGAAGGAAGCGAAGCCCGTAGATTTGCGGTACGCTACTCAAGCGAGACTGCGTGAAAGTCAAGATAGACCAGGCGCATTCCATAGTCGGGACGTAATAGCGAGCCAGCTTTGGACGTGAGATGATCAGCATGCTCGGTATTTCAAAGATCATGTAGCCGATATTGTAGCTGGATGACGTGAGACATTGTTTCATGGCAAGGCTTCTAGCGTGACTTACAAAGTCCCGAAGAGCGAATATTCGTTGCCCTTTATCGCCAACTCCTCTCGCATGCCAGACCAATACGCAGTATTGAGTGCGTTCTGATCCAGCCACTTTATGTAGAAGCAGAGGCAACACAAAGTAAGCAAGACACAGTCGAGCTTGCGTACCAATCGTTTTTCTTCGGGAGAGTAATGACTCGGATACCACTGTACACTATGAACAAATCCCATAACCATGTGCGCTTGCAAAACTCACATCGAAGATGTACATCCAAGCAACCCAGAAAGAGCGGTTGGGCTTCTCGGTGGCAGAGCTTACGACAACCTCTTTGCCGTTAACCATGACAACGTTGCGTTCGCCGTCGGGCGTCACGACCTTGATCTCATCCTGAGAAGGCGGCATTGTCGTGCGCGGTCGTCAAGAAAGAACTTTGGTGCGGTGGTATGATGCAGGCGCCAGAAGTGCTGCTTCGTTGGAGTTTCTTCACAACAAAGTATTCTTCACCCGAGTTTAAGTATCATGAGTTCTGCCATGAACATTGAGCGGATACCAAGTCTTCGCCATTCTGAATTCCTATCCTTTGCCAGTCGTGTCGGTCAGTGTTCCTTGCTGCTGCATACCCCGCGGGTTGTGGCGCTTTCCCATGGGGTAAGGGCCGCAGTACGCATTGGGTGGAAACCCAATCACGGGCGTGCGGGGCTGTTGTTAGCGTCGTTTCGGATCCTTGGCAGCGGGCTTCGGGCTATCGCGAATATCAGAATCGTCCCATCTCACACAAGACACATGTCTCGGAGCATTGGCAGTTCGCGTTTCCATACCCCGAAACCACATCAACTGAATTTCGCCATGACTATGTACATAGTAGCCGCTTCTCTCTCATGGGGTGATCGTTCTAGCTTCAATTCGATTCTCTCACGTTACAGACGACCGCGCGTAGCAAACGCCATCCCTGTTGCGAGAATTCAGCATCCTCCCTAACTTTGGAGTGCCAGCGACGAAGATACCACGCTACATTAAACCGATCACATGGATCCACTCGTGACGAACCTCGTCGAACCACAAGACGATTCATCGCAAGCGCCTTCAAAACCAGCGGAAGACGTGAAGCCAGAAGACGACCACTTGATACTCAAGCCAGTACAAGAACGAACTCATCACGATATCTCCGGGGATCTCGGCTTCGCTCTCACGAAGAAAGCTATCCTAGCAGGGAGCGTACAATCCTCGGGAAGCAGCATTGAGGAAGACTCATCTGAGCATGACACGGCGACACCCAGCAGCAGCGCACCGCCATCAGAAAGCGGTAATCTGGACTGCATAATCCATCACTTCACCTCAAGCACTGCGATAGCCGATCTCGTACCGGAGCTTTTCACTGAAAACATCATGGCCAAAGTCCTTCGAACCGCACAGGCTGCTATGTCCTCCCTTCCTACCGCATTTCCAGAGATTGTCCCTCAGCAGGACAATCACGATGGTAGCTATAGCTTACGTGAAGCTGACTTTTGGACTTGTGGCTTCTTTCCTGGGACCATGTACAACATGTTGGAGAGGCTCATCAAATACCCTCAGCATATGCATCTCTCTAGTTCGATTGATCTGAACCATCTCCGAAGTCAACTCACTGTCTTATGTCGCACATGGGTCGAGCCAATTCGAGGTATGGACGAGCGAACCGATACCCATGATATCGGTTTCATTGTCATGCCAGCACTCCGTACTGACTGGGAACTGTTCGGAAACCAGCAGAGTCTGGATTCTATCGTCAAGGCTGCGCATAGTCTGGCGATGCGATATGTTCCTACAGCTGGTGCTATCAGAAGCTGGGACTTGCTGAAGAAGAAGAACATAGAGATAATCGACCAAGATGAGAACATGATCGTTATCATCGACAGCATGTGCAATCTCGACTTGCTGTATTATGCGGCACATCATGCGCAAGACTCCAAACTTGCGGAAATTGCCACTACCCACGCTGCCACACTCTTGCACAGCCATCTGCGCCCCGAGTCAATGCTATCCGCATCGAAAGATGCCTACAGAGGTCAATGGTATTCGACTTGCCACGTCGCAAACATTGATCCAAGGACAGGCGAACTGAAGCAACGAATAACGGCACAAGGTTACGAGCACGATTCAACATGGAGTCGTGGCCAGGCATGGGGTATACTTGGATACGCGGAGACGTACATGTGGACAAGAGACCATAGGTTTCTGGAGGCAGCCTGTGGACTCGCAGAATATTTCGTGTATCGTCTGGAGACATCACCTGTCTGTGTATCTTGTGCGCGCTACGTGCCTTTGTGGGACTTTGATGCACCAATCGAGAACGAGGATGAACCGTTGCGCGACTCTTCTGCAGGCACCATCGCCGCTAACGGAATGCTATTGCTATCGCAAGCATTAGCGGGTATCGGGCAGACTCAGTTGTCACTGAGATTTCGGAACACAGCGTTGCGCATAGTTCAAGACACACTCAGCTTTGCGCTGGCATCAGAAAAGGCTCGGCTCGTCAGTGGTTCATATCATCAGATTCGTGCGGAGGAGACAATGCCAGAACGTCGTTACGATGGGATGTTGAAGTTTGGAACTGCAAACAACAATGCGAATGCGCGTAAGCGTTACGCCAATCATGGCCTCGTTTATGGAGACTACTATCTGGTGGAATTTGGAAATAGGTTGTTACGAATGGGCCTAGTATAAGCCAGGTGACTCTTCGGCTAGCGCAAACAGGCAAATGTGTATTGTCGTGTCTTGATCAAGAAATCTCTGGTGTAGAAGAATAGGATCACTTCGAGGGGTGGAGAACGTCTGATGGTTACTAGCTCGGTTAAATCATTAGTGTCATCGTATCTCTCAAGACGCTAGACTGTATACTGATCGGGTCGCGCCAATGCGGAGAACCTGGCTGCCCTCTCGGTCGTTCGGGGCATCTCGACCGGTGTTCGGATGGATCAGCTACATAAGGGTGTAGTTAGTCCTAGCTCTCAGTAAACGCATGTCATGTCAGATGAAACTTCTAGGCACAAGTCAAATGAGCAGCCTGACTGTGAGCTGAAGCAAGCTTCTGGCACGCCGTATGGCCTCGCTTGCAATTCGTGCCGGAAAGCGAAACTGCGCTGTTCGAGAGACAGGCCCAGTTGCCTACACTGTAGAAAGACAGGTAAAATATCACATGGTTACGCAGTCCGGTTCCATCCGCTAATATTCAGCAGGAGAAGAATGCGAATACGAATCGAAACGTATCAAGCCGGGCTTAAAGTCAGGAGCTATTGACAATCTGCATAGAAGGATTGACGAGTTAGAACAGCGCTTCAACGCGCAAGAATCTCATCTTAAACAGTGCAACCACGACTCACCACATGAAACTGGACATACACGTCAGATTTCAAGCGAGTCGGCAGCTTACAGCATCTTGGCTCTGTTGGCCAAGGAACTGCCCAAGCTGACTGATGGCTTATCGAATGGAGGAATTGTCACGCCGGCAACAAACGAGGAGAGCAACAAAAGGAGACGTCTAGCAGACAAAGACAATGTTATTCTCCATACGTTGGACTCAGATGAAGTGCCTCCTCTACCCCAGGCTGAAATGCTGGAAGCTATCGTTGCAGCATACTTTTCCCATGTTCATCCTTGGATCCCGATGATCCATCAGGCCAGGTTTTTTCAACGCTTCAGCATAGAGCAGCAGCGCAGAAAGCTCTCAGTGGTCATACAAGCTATGATTCTAGCCGCTTCCAAATTTGTACCTGGTTCACGAGGGGGTCATGTTGAACAAGCGCGCAGGTGGGTTGTTTGCACAGCTATGGAGACTCTATCACTTGAGAGCCTCCAAGCGCTGACTATACTGGCTTTCGATGATATTGGGAACGGACAAGCATCAAAAGCCTGGGCCATCATCGGATCAATGACGCGTACCGTTGAATACATGGGCTTGGCACAGGAGCAAGAGGATAGTGAGCTTCACCCTTTTTGCCAAGCATACGCATGCCTAGAGAATACCGACGATTGGACAGAAGAGGAAGAACGGCGGAGAGTCTTCTGGAATGTTTTCCTCCTTGATCGATTCTGCTCGGTAACTATGGGCTGGAGTACGAGTTTAACCTCTGATGATGTCTTTCGGAGACTGCCCTGTGACGGTCACCTGTGGCGCAAGCAGAATGCTGTCTTGACGCCTTACTTCGGCATTTGGGACAAGTCAAAAGGTCGCATCGGCAACCCGATCGGCTTCATCTCACAGCCTATATCTCTGATCGATGAGTCATCCGCCACTGAGACTGCAGCCCATGGCCAGATGAGAGGGACACCATCAATCGACATGGGTCAAAACGGAGCGGCAGATATGTCCACGGTCGGTGCTTTTGCGTACAACATCGAAGCAACCGAGTCTATGAGTCGCGTAGTGAGCTATTTTCTTCAACAAAAAGTCAATGTTCGAAACCAAGGCGAGATCAGCTCTTGGCTCACTCGATTCAAAGAGCTAGATCTTCGCTTGGTGCATTGGAAGATGCTGCTACCTCAGAAATGGAAGGCCAATCCTAACTTAACAAGACAGGTTCCCTTGATGGTAAGTATTCGAACGATTGCTGCATTACAAACATCAAGTAACATCTGTTAGGACCCGAATTTAACTACAGCTCATGTCACACATAACGCTTCGATGATACTGCTTCATCAGCTCATCGCTTATCCACCCCCACACTGGGGCTTTCGAAACCGGTTACCTAGCACTTGCAGCGCAGAGGCTTGCTACACTGCTGGTATTGAAATTGCAACCATTACAGAGAAATACCTCACAAAGTCGTCGCCTACATCACCGGTTGGATGCCAGTATGCTTTCTGCCTGTTCGTTGCCGCCAGGGTACTTTTAGCTCATTGGCGCTACACACGTGAGAACGACCTGGCGCCCGAGTTCTGGTCCATCTTGCACAGCCTTGAAGAAATGTCAAGGCGATGGATCGCCTTTTCTGGTCGGTCGCATTGCGAGGAGAACCTGTTCAGCCAGTATCACCGTCGGCTAAGGAGACTACATGAGCTCTGCGCAGAAGACGAAAACTTCCGACTTAACATTATGGACTATACCAATGATCTCGATCATCGTTTTGGTACCAGTGAGCCATCGCAATCTTTTCGCACATGGCCAAATGTAGGGGTGACTCTGCCGTTGGACGACTTGGGCTTACCCTTGCTGAGTCCGGAGTTCAACACCGATCCGATGCTTGATCAGGATTTCATAGACATGGACCGTGTCATTGCTTTCGAGGACGGCAGCATGTTCACTTCGTCATTCGATCTTGGGGCCAATGGGTGGTAATGTAAGTTGTTCCATGGCTTGCCACTCTACATGTGAACATCCACATTGAACAAACGGATTTTCTGCCATGATAATCAGCTTGGCGGCCTCACATGATTACAGTAGTAGTAATCAACGCGGATATTTGTGCCTAGTGTATATATGAATAGAGGCGTACTAGGTTTTATACGAGGTCATGCCGCGTGCAGGTCAGGCTGATGGAAATGAGTCAGTGAATAGCCACAGTAATTGCTTGCACCCCATTGGCATTCCTGCTTTACAGTTTTTGAAGTCCTTGGCCTGTTCCAACATTGGAAACAACAGATCCTTCAGTCGTTTGAAACGATGGATCTGTTGTGATTGTTGTGGACCATCTCGAGATCCCCAAAGCGGTTCACGGCTCAGAACTAGAAAACACAACTTAGTTGAATAAAGTTAGTAAATGCCAGAGTCAGGAACTTATCATCCTCGAATATGCCAAACTAACATCGATCCGTGTAAGACCGCAGCTGTGAGCAAGGCCCGCTACTAAGGCCGGAAAATGTTTCGATTATGCTTCGACCTTATCAACACAGACACCAATTTACAGCAGCAGCACTCTACTCCGCTTTTGCCGCAGCAATCTTCAAAATCTCCTCTACACTCTTCCTCGCATTCTTAGGATCCTTGGCAACAGACTGCCATATTTCACCATGCTTGGGCTCAGCCATGGCAGCCTTTGAAAGCGTATCCTCCTTCTTCTCCTCAGTGCCATGCTGTTCGAGGAACTTGTAGTACCACACCCAAGCATCACCGTAATCGCTGTCAAGGGTGACAGCCTTGACGAACCACGTCGCGGCCTTGTCGAGACGTCGCTCCGACCAGAAGATCCGTGCGACGACGACGAATAGTAGAGGGTCCTTTTCCACTTTCTTAATAGCTTCGAGTGCGCGCGGCTTACGTTGTGTGCGGCCCTCGAGGTGCATGATCTTCTCTGCCCATAAAAGCCCTGAGTTGGGACATTGTTGTAGAGCGCCGGCCATCAGCTGTTGGGCGGCACTCGTGTTGTTCTGGCAACGCTCGAGACGGACTTGCTCTAGAAGGATCTCCTCGCTCTTAGGGTTCTGCTGTCGACCACGATCCAGGGTGGACCTAGCCTTTACAACTGCTCCTTGCTTCACCTGGAGTCGTGAAAGAAGAATATACAGGACTGGAGCTTTCGGTGCCGCGCGTGTACCGATGTTGAACGCCTCATGAGCTTCGGGCAGCTTTGAAAGCTGCTCGTAGACTTGACCCTTGATAGCATGTAACTTCCAGCTGCCGGGCCAGTTCTGCAGACCCTGGTTGCAAATGTCAATCGCTGTCTCATAGTTTTCCAGTTGTCGTTCTAGCACGGCCGACTTCATGTAGATGCGGTCAGTGGCAGCTGATTCACGTGCTACCTGGAGGAAGCTACGGGCCTGCTCGTAGTTGCCAGCGTCAACTTCGAAATCAACAGCGCGAGTGTACAGCATTTCGTTGCCTGGCAGAGCCTCGAAACTTCTTCCCAGAACCTGGCGAGCACCTTCAGGGTTGCCTGACTGCCACATTTCTCGAGCGTATTGAAGCCACAAGGACTCCGAGTTTGGACAGGCGTTCACGGCACGCTCCAGGACACTTAGTAGGGTGTCTGTTGTTCCGTGATGTTTTTCGAGGTCAGTGGACGCGTGCCAGACTGTTGTACTATACGGGAAGACGGCGACAGCAAATCCGAGGATTGCCCTAGCTGTTTCCGGCTTGTTTCTGTTCAACACGCTCCTGGCATCTTCTAGCCAAACGTCCCGACGCTCGTCATCTTCGTCAAGACCCCAGCCCACAGTCGCCTTGATGATCGCAGCAGCTGTGCCAGTGTCGCCTTGCTCCTCGCAAATCTCAGCTTGAGTGATCCACTCTTCACGTTTGATCATAGCGTTCTCCTTTATCAGGGACTTGACTGCTCTAGTCATGATCATGTCCAACATGTCAACTTTGCCCAGCTCTTCTTGCAATCTGCAAGCATGAATCCAAATCGCCCAACTGGTGGGGATGGCTTTGCGAGCCTTGTTGAGAATCTGCTGCGCGTCTTCTGGTTTTGAAACTCTGGCGAATGAGATCCACAACTCCTCTGAGAGAGGAACAGTTTCTGTAGCTTTGGCGAACAATAAGCGGACAGCGTCTAGCTCTTCCGTGTCGTTGATCAAGGTCTTCCACAACTCCACACTCTGGGGGTTGTGATCTAGAGCTTGACGTGTAACCTTTTTCCTAGACGCTGGTGTTTGTTCCAGATCAATGGCAGCTTGCCATAATTTTACCGCCTTGGTGTTCTGCTTGATACCATTGGCGGCAATGATCTTCGCATTGTGGATGTTGTCGCGGTTCAGTCTGATCGCTTCCTCCCAGACGACTACAGACCGAGGACATAGTTCGCATCCACGTGCAATGACCTTTTTGGCCGTGTGAATCTTTCCAGCAACCTCTTCAAGTCGTGCTAGCGCAACGTATCCGGGGCCGTTGTGGACGTTGGTCTTGACGGCCGATTCTAACAGCACACGCGCACGGTTGATGTCCTCAACTGGAACTTCCTCACCCATAGCTTCCTTTTTGCTCAGTGCAGTCATGTATCCCTTCGGGTCCACAGACGTCGAGGTACCAGAAGTTGTTGTGGTTTGCGTGCCAGGCGCACTTGCTGCTGAGTCCAGTCGTACCGTCAAGGCAGATAGCTGCGCGGCTCCGATACTGGCAAGGTTGGTTGTCATGCCGTCTGCGTCGCCTGACGATATCGTGGTATCAAGCTCGCCACTCTTGGATGCTGCGGCCAAAACACTATCCGGAACGGCGTATGACCTCGAATTCGCCAGTCGAGCTTCACGAGCGCGCTTCGCTTTGCCGGTCATATCTCCAACCTCAGGCAGCGCTGCCCATTCTTCCTCAGAGACGCCGCCGAGGGCTCGCTTCAGATCGGCAAACTGGAGCTGGATCTTGGGGTTGTTTCGTTCGTACTCGTCTCGTTCTTGCTGCTCGCGAGCTTCCCTAGGGCGGACACAATCGGTATCTGTTCGTGGAAAAAAACACGATGAATACTTCGATAACAAAGATAGAGGGGAGGGGCATAAGGTAAAGGAAAACAGGGGGACTAACCTTCTTGCTCTACGGCGCTTGTCCATCTTCTCGTCAACTTCTTGGTATATGCGGTCTGCCTCATCATCGTCCTTGTCGTAGTTCATGCCGCTTGAGAAAAGGCCAACTTCATTATCGGGATCTTGAAACCGGTCCTCCTCTTCGTCCCTCTCTTCCTCCTTCTTTTCAGTGACACCATAGGCTGAGGGGGCTGCCTGACCTAGCGAAGCTGCGCGCTTTGCTAGCATCTCTTTCATCTGCTCCTCGGATGGACCCTCACGGGCGGGACCCAGATCGCTTCGGGTTGTAAAGCCCGTAGCTCCTCTACCGAGACCAGCCACATAGTTCTCGGGCGCAGGCATAGAGAGAAAGTCGCGTCGACTCATCTTGGCGGTAGTTCCGGGGTTGTCGAGGAAAGGTATTGGTCGTAGCCTCGGGCTGGAGCGCGCCGCAAGCTGCGCAGGCTTTCGGAACAATTAACCTAAACGCGATGCGCCAGTATCTTCGCTGGATGTATGCGGACTTGGATCGCGGTCGCGATGGAAGAGTTGGCGGTGAAATACGGTAGCGAGGTGGGTGGTGTTGATGCCGAGGCGGCGTGATAGGGCAGTCGCGACTTGGATAATAATTTGAGCTAGGCAATCGCGTGTCACGTGCAACGAGTTATGAAATGCACTAACCCAAAAGGTGAGTTTGCGACGGGCACATGAATTCATCCAGGCAATGGCTGTCTACAACTTCACGTATGTTATCTTGCTGCGGATGCTTGGCTACCTCAAAGACCTATTCAATAGCTGACATGTTGCGGCTGACTTTACTGGGGCCATATATATATGTGTACTTGATCTCATCCCTGTTCGTTTCGCCCTTACTTCTACGCAGATGCCTTCCCGTGCGAAGATTGAAGAGCGTATCGGGGTGAGATTGGTGGCAATGGGGGAACTGGCTCTTCTGGCGTGGTATCCCCTCTCAAATTCCTTCCGCTTCATCAAGTTAGCATATGCTGGATCCGTGTTGTCATCAATCGTACCTCTTCGTTTTCCTCAATTTCCCTCCGAACCACTTCTTGAAACTCCTACTCGAGGACGGTCGCTCCGGTTCTTTGGTGCGTGCGGTGTCGGATTGTGCCATGCTACTCCTGTGACTTGACGCACTAACGGCGCTGGCGTCTGGGGTTATGTCGTCGTCTTCCTCCAGCGGCGGCGCCCACCTCTCGACATCTCCGTTGACCACTACGAACCAACCTAATTTTTCTCCCGGTGCAACCTTGTCCCTCAATTCTGCAATGGCTGCCCACTGGTCATCTCCCAGCCCAGCTCCCCTCATCTCTTCCACGTCGACGCCCAGCTTGATCTCGTGCACAATATCGCACACATATGCGTACGGCTGATCCTTGACGGTGAGATCTTCGGGATCGTATTGCTCGATGAAGCGTAGATCAGGCAGCTGGGCCATCTGTTCTGGCCATTGCTCCTTGAAGTTTTGCATCATACAGGCCGCAGTAGCAGGGGCCATGAGCCATTCTGGAGCGGCATCGTCGAGGTTCTGCAGAATAATGTGAATGCGAATCTGTGCACGCGGCCATCGAAAACCGTGAACGAGCCAGGTGGGCATGTTGAAGTGCTTTTCGTATCAATTCTCCGTTTCGGAGGTGGAGTGCCGTGGAAGAAAGTCGGCCCAAAAAGCAACACACAGAGGTAGGTCAAAGTGAGGGACGAGGTCTTTAGCAGACTTTGGCTTGCAGGTCGTACATGGTCACAGACGTTGTGTTATGTAGGTTGGGACCGCGTCTTGAGAGCTTATGCAGAGGTCTAGACGATAGCCGCAGCGTGGCTGGGAGCGCTCGTCTTGTGGCCAGATGCACGCTAGGAAAAAGCAACAAGGGAATCGATACGACGGTTACCACGGGGAAGCACGATCAGAGGGGCACTATTGAAGGCGATGCATCTAGCCAGGAACTCGGGTTGTCTCTTTGGGTTATGCCAATGGCACTGTGGGGAGAGAACTGGATAGGGCCCCGCTCGACGCTAATGCAAGGTCGCTCCCGTTCGCGTCGACGGGTGCCACTGCTTGCCTCCGCGCCCGACCTCGCTGGTGAGAGTTAAGAAGGCGGCCGTCCCGATGGCGCATGACAACAAACAACACGCTCTGGTCTCGTCCGCCTGGCACATGTCACCATGCCTCTGTGAGTGGCTCTCCTCTCCCAACTCTAACCCTTGGAGTCGCTAACGACTGTAGACACCTGCTCGGCAAGAAGTCATGGAACGTATACAATTCCGACAACATAGCGCGCGTCAAGGCCGACGAGGCTGCCGCTGCCGCACGCGAACAAGCCGATGAGCAGCGCATGCAAGAGCTCGATGCCGAACGACGTGCGGCCATTCTCCGAGGTCGAACGCCCCCACCTTTGCCAGAAAGACAAGCCAGCAAGACGTCAGAATCAAGGCGCTCAGGCCACGCAGATGAACGCGGACATATCAGGAAAAGGAGGAAGCTCGCTGGGGAGGATGACACCGATCTGGATATACGCATCGCCAAGTCCGTCACGGCGCGACCTGAGCATGACGACAAGGACGCCAGAGTCCTGAAGTTGCGGAGCACTGCGAGTGATGCCCCGTTGCAAGACCATGCCGGCCACATTGACTTGTTTCCGGTAGACATGAAAGACGCCCTCAAGCGTGAGAGAAACGCAGAAGCGGAACAGGAGAAGCGCAAGAAGGAAAAGGCCATCGAGTCCCAGTTCACCATGCGCTTCTCCAGTGCGGCAGGAAGGGACGGGGTCAGTCGACCCTGGTACGCTGCCGTACATTCGCCCAAGCAGAGCGCTGGAGACAAGAAGGAATTGTCAATCTACGAAGGCTTCGTGAACAAGGACGTTTGGGGAAATGAAGACCCGCGCCGTAAAGAAAGGGAGCAGGTCCGCATATCGACAAACGACCCTTTTGCCTTCATGCAGAAGGCGCAGGCACAGTTGAAGAAGTCCAAGCAGGACAGGAGACAATGGGCCGAGGAGCGCAGTCGCGAATTGATGGAGCTACGATCAGCTCAGGAACGCGAGGATAGGCGGAGTAGACATCTTAAGAGGAAGAGGCGAGACGTCGAAGACAGCGAGCATGGCACTCCCAAGAAGCACAGTGCGTCATCGCGCCATAAGCATCGTCACACAAGTCCTAGCCACAGCCGTGACAAGCGTGAGCCTAGGACTTCCACGCACAGCCGTGACAGGCACGAGCATCGGTCTTCGCATCGCAGCGGCGAGCGACGAGCCCAAAGCAAGAGTAGAGAGCGCGCTGGTGATCGTCACACCCATCGTCACCCGCGGACCGAAGATTTTGAGACGGCTTTTATATGAGAGCGAAGACATCGGGTACCAATAGTCTTACGTCCAAGTGGACCATCCATGCGACCAACGTTGTGTTTGCTCATTCTCTACCCTGCTTTTTTTGTGACCCCATGTCTGACAGTGGACCCGTCGGCTACTCCCTCTAGGATTCGTCGGGCTGGTCGCAGACATGCAGTCGCTTCACGCGAAGATGGCGAGCTAAAGAGTGTTTAGTGGGAACTGAAAATGTTTTCGTATATTATGTCCAAGGGCTCATGCGTGTAGCAACAGATGAGTACTGTACCTTGAACATGGTGCTAAGCTAACGTCTAGTCCTTCTTTTCACTTGCGTTTGCACCAATCTCAACATCTGTCTTGGCCCAGTATTTACTCAGATCTCCAACAGGTGGGCAAACAGACCATCGCATCTCTGCCGCCATAATAACGAAGAGCATGTACCATCCCAGTAAGCCTACTATGAATAGAAGCGCCCCACCAGCCTACTAAACATCAGCAACGTTCTGGAAACATTTGATCAGCTTACCTTTTGCAACCTAAGCGCCTTGTCAAACTCTCCGTTGCTCAACGCCCAGTAAGCTCCGCTCAACACCCAGGCACCGATTGTCACGAACCCGAAGATGCCAGCAAACACTACGTTGATTCTGATCGTAAACAGCCAGAATGTACCCAATGCGAAGCCCCAAACAAGAAGATACAGTGCGATGACAGCATTCATCTCTTTGCTCACAGCCCCTGCTGCTGCATCGCCGTCGGACGAGTAGGCTGCTGCAAGACCAAGTGTAGGTAATTGCAACATTCCAAAGGACAACCAGAAGACCGAGAAGAGACCACAAACCATCATCGGAAAGAACTGCGCTTGGATCCAGAGGAATATCGTTGCCAGGGTAAGAAGTACTGGGCCAGTGAAGAAGAATATACCACTAAGAATGGCTCAATACAGTTTCGAGACGGGAAGTGCACACTGGGAAGGGGATGAATACTTACACGACAGCCTGGAGACCAGAAGCGCCGCCCCAGCCCATCAAAACCATGGAAAAGGTGAAGGTTGAGATGACGAATCTGCTGGGTACTCAGTACTGTGTCTCTCGCACATGCGATGATCATCTTACCCCAGGAAGCCCAACGGTGTCGCATTGGCATATCGTCCGACGTGATCGTTCGCATTTGGTGTCTTGGGTGCGAGATACAACTTCTCGAATAGCTCCGGACTGAGGGAAATGTTCGTCGATGTGTGAGTAAGTCGCGGCTCCTTGTCAATCCGATCAGAATCTGTACTGCTCATCGCAGGCGCTGGATGCGCTGTCGTAGTTGTCGCCATAGCTGCTGCGATGGACTCTCGGTATTGCTGGCAAACCAAAGTCTTAATGTCAGATGGCAACCGTAACCTTGCGGCACGAGCTCAGGGTGCTCTGCACTTATCAGCTCCAAGAGCACCCTGTCGCTCAAGTCTCTTCTCCACATGCACAAGCGTGGTGGGGTACACGTCCACAGAACGCCCGTGTCTTGGAGTCCAATAACCCACATCACGACATGCTTGACAATATGCTCGTCTCGGACTCCGTATGCTAGAGTCGCGACATTCCATTCGTCAAGTAAAGCCGATGGAGTTCAGCCACTCCTTTTGACAGGCTGGATATATATCGAATGGCGCCGAGAAGCCACCATCGCCAAAGACTACTGTTCAAACAAATGACACTGGTCAGCATGCTCGACGCTGTGGTGGAGGTCGAGCTTCCCCGCTCGCTTCCTCGTACTGAGCTGGCCGGCAATTCCTGGATGCATGGTGATTGGTCAGTGCTGGATGTACTCCCGTGCCGTGCGTACCCCAGTTCTTAGGACAGGTCAGCAAGACCCAAGCCACCGTGCGATAGCCGGAATAAGAATGGTGGCTGGACATGGAGTAAGGATCGAACTGCAGTTTGCGAATGATTTGTTGCTGGAATATATACATTGAAGGTATGAGTAGTGTCAGAAGTATGTACATGCGGTTCCCAAATCAGAATACGAACTGAGCCACCGCAACAAGGTATGTATCAGAAAGAAGATGTAAACACAAAACCGGTTTGAAGGAGAGTTAGAAGAGAACGTGCGAACCAAGAAAGGCGAAACTTCTCCAAGCATACGACGCGAAAAGTTGAAACGGTTGCAACGCCCTTGTCGGTTGAATCCGACACTGCTGACCATCGATATCTTTTGCGAACGAGGGTGTACGAACGAAGAATCTAGTCCAATCTGAACGTTGAGCCGCCCTCAATGAGGGGAGGCCAGCGCTTCTTAAGACCAGAGTCGTCTTGGGGCCAGATGTCTGTCGTGCCAGCCTTGTAGCTAGCCCATTTGTTGCAGTTGCCGTACCACTCGGAGCCGGCAGCAGGTAGATTGATAGACTGCTTGCGCTCAAGGAACTGGACGCTGAGGCCCATGCCCACATGGAAGGCGATGTGGCAGTGCATCAGCCACTAGAGAAGAACAGTCAGCATTTGCCGAAAAAGCGCGACGGGTAGGAGGTTCGTTCATGATAAGATGCCTAAAAGTATTTTTCAAGGACTGAAACAGGGTACAATACTTACAGCACCTGGATTATCCGTTGGATACGCAAGAACAAGCCAACCGTTCTTCTTGAGCTGAGTGACATCGCGACGCGGAGGATTGGTGAAACGTAGCTGGCTGAAATGGGTGCTCACGTTGAACTGTCCATCGCCTGCACCGAGAACATAGCTGTCGTGGCCATGAAGATGAATAGGGTGAGCAAGAGGCGGTGCACCAACAGCTTGTTGTACCACCCAATATGACCAGGTAGAGGCGGAAGTCGATGGTACCTCCACGACGTTATATGATTGAGGGAAACTGTTGTTGGTTTCCGCGACATATTTGATGGTCGGTTTTCCGGGATCGATGATCATTGATGTGCCATTGATAGTCCAGAGTACTGTATTGCCGTTGGCTGCCACCGGACCGAAGGCAACAGGAAGGCTCTTGGCTTGGGCGGCAAAGGTTGTGCTGGGAACATTCTTTGCGATCTTCGGGCTAGTGACCGGATCCAAACATTCCGTGAAAGGGATAGCTGTGGAGTTTGAGGTAGGATCAGCGACAGTCTGGCCTTGGTACGTGAAGACCGCTCGTCCCTCGCGATTGTTCCGCGATTGACAAAGTCCATCTGCGACAGCACGGAACCAGTAGTTTCCAGCTGTTTGATTGGCAGTAATGATCACATCGTATCGTTGGCCGATACCAATTTGTAGGTGAGTAGTGTTGTAGGGATTGATGGGGACAAAGTCCGTTGCGATGACCTGGAAAGGATGACCATCAAGGTTTACAACCATGTTGGTATCAACCGCGGTATTGACAAGTCGAAGACGATAGCGTTTGCCTGCTTGAATCTTCACATTATTCCATACGCCTCCTCCTGCTGCATTCTTAGCTGTCCCGTTGATCAAGATGTTGTCACCGACTGGTGGGCCCAGTCCAGCTTGGCCATTCTGAAATGCGATGGAGGCTGCTTGGTACGCGGTCTGGTAATACCAGTCAGTGATTGGCATGACCCCGAGATCCTCGTCGTAATTCGCAGTAGCAGGGCCATTCACGATAACTGTTCCAACGACTCCGTCTCCATACTGATGTGAGAAATGGGAATGGTACCATGTCGTGCCGTACTCAGTCGCCTGGAACTCATAAGTCTTGACGTCGTTGGGTGCCAATGCACACTCGGTGATTCCATTGACACCGTCCTGGATGTTCTTATTGAGCATGCGAAAGCCGTGCCAGTGGATGGAAGTACCATTAGCCTGGAGGAGATTGCGGACAGTTACTCTGATCGTGTCGCCCCAATTGGCAACAATCGTGGGACCAGGGTACCTTCCATTGATCAACATGCAAACTCTGGATCCTGCGCCATCAGGATTGCAAGTCGTGTTCTCGATGCGTAGATTGTATGAGCGAACCACACCGGTATTAGGCCAGGACGTGTACATGTCCGTGGAAGACGTGAACCCCGGAGCCCAACAATGCCTGGTGGTAGCAGTGTTACCGACATTGACACATGAAGCTGGGGATTGACGTTCCTCAAGACTGTCTCGTATTGGCGTAAATGGGGCAAGTTCGGCGGGCTCAGCAGGGATCGCTGCTGCAATGGCGACTGGAGTAAAAAGCCCAAAGAGGGCAGCACCAAGGATGGAGAAGGACTTCATCCTTGCTGAATAAGCTGGAAATCAACGAATGTGGAGATATGACGACTGGAGCAAAGAGAAGATAGTATAATGCGTAGACGACTGCTCGATATGCTACCAGAGAATTACCAAGCAGCAAACTCGTACTTATATCTGCTCTTACAATCCGTGGCTTGCATCTTCAGCTCAGATGGCCATTCTGCCTTCGATAGGTTTTGGAGGCGCCATGGCGCAATACACCCAAGTTCCTCTCTGACTCTCTAACTACCAGGATGTTAGTATGGCTTAGGATAAGGCAAACGGAGATTTGATGCTCGGAGATCGTATTCATAGAAGTTTAACGCTTGAAAATGGATATGGGCAGAGGGCGATGAAGGTGCATGACCACCCAATCCTACACGAATACAGTCAGCACGGAGTGTGACCGCTCAATCCAGACCTCGGAGTCTCGCGTCTGACTCCAAGAAAGAACAGCTCAGGCGACCTCGTGGGCGGGAGTGTCCCTACGAATGGCGACTGCCTTGGCGAAGTCAGGTTTGAAGCTCGCGAGGTGGCTTACACGAGTTCCGCAGCCACTCCGCCCATCTCAAATTGGGTCGAAACCTATGCAGCCTCAAGTAGCGCGCAGTGTACTCGCCAGAGAGTCGGCTTACATGATTGAAAGGCGCACCCATCATGTCTCACGTGTGGCGGAGCCGCACAGATCGCGCAAAGATCGCGCGCACGACCAAGCTTGTCAGAAAGCAGATATCGGGTCAAGCCATACCATGTGAACTGATAGAGCTGTGGATAGGTACGTGATAAAGCCCATGTGCTTTGCTGGAGCAGTTGGAATACTGAATGTTTAGGCATCCAAGCTGATCGAGGTGCTTCAGCTGACGGTGAGATGGCAAGAATGAGAAGGCGAAGCTGCCTGATTACGAAAGAAAAGCAGTTCGCTTGACGCTATTATAAATCAACTGCAAGGGTGATACTTTGCATCTACGTGATCGATTCGACGGCCGCACGACGTGCTCGTTGGTCTTCTATGAGTGGAGGGACGCTGTGGAATAGAGGTGCCATCGATAACCGCAACCGCCCTGATACCGACGTTTGCAACAGATGTTCTGAGGGAGGTCTTCGTGTTCGTTGTGGAGTAGTATGCTTGACAATATTGTTTGGGCGTTCGGGCGTTGTGAAGCGTGCCAGGTTGCATTTTCAGATTGTGTTCTCGGCGTTTAGATATGGTAACAGTAGTAGCGCTTCAACAGTCTGACAAGAGCATGGAGTGGCTTCAGACATCCAAGCCAGCTATTGGAAGACTCGATTGAACCGGTGAAGCGAAGTCCGTAGAGCACGCCGACAGGCATCGTGACAGATTCGTAAGATTTGACGTCGAGCACTGTTCTCAATACAAGATGAGTAAAACACCTGGAGACTTTCTAGCCCTGGCATATCTCTCGTGTGACCTCGCGGAATTATCTTGTTTGATGGCCATCGTCTGGCTGGAAACCTGGCGCTGGCAACTCATACCCGTTTTCCGAAAAGCCGGGTGCAACTGTCGTGCCCACCAACGTCCAATGTCCAAGACTAGTAGCCCGCTGCCACTGTCCCTTATCTATGATGACCTGTGGAGTTTGATTTCTGAAAATATCGCTGCCTAAAGTCTGCTGTTGGGTTGCTGTCCCGTTATTCCACGACAGCTCCAGCCTCATGGGCGCGCCAGCATAGTAATGCCAAATTTCGACGGCATCGGTGACTCTGTGCCAATAGGATGGGCCAGCTTGACCCTCGAGAAGATAGTAGATGGCAGTTGAGTACGAGCGGTTGCCAGTACTTCCAGCGTCTTCAAACGTTTGTCGGTAATAACCCTTTTCAGGGTTTGGCTCCAGCCCAAGCTTGGCGATGACGTCTTGTGCGTCGACGTGTTCGTGATAAGATGCAGACACTCCAAGAAGCGACAACGCGAAGCAGGTTAACGCGAGCTTGTTCATGTTTGCAAACGTTTACGTTGGTCGTGTCGTAGTATTGGGTGGTTCGTGGGTGATACGCACAGCCTCTCTTGTGAAGGAAGTAAGCGCGTCCTGCCGCTCGCCTTGTCGCTTCCGGCTTACTAGGCACCACCGTCATTGACTCCCACTCTCTGTGATAGCCCACCACCATAGCTCCGCGACATTAGACATCCACAGCGAGGCAACGATGAAGCTGAAGAGGAAGCGTCTCTTCGCGCTAGGCTGGCACGCACTTCCGAAATACGACCGAGATCGATAAAGAGGACAATCCTCACACAGGCTCTTATCGCGCGCCCATGTTGTGCACCACGAGCTCCGCGTATCATTCGCTCCACCCATCACAATGCAAAATGGGGATCGATTGCCGTTTATCGCCGTAGCTTCTCTGTATGAAGATCCGATGGCGGAGCGCCTCGCTGTAGTGATCTAGCACGCTGAGCACATCATTCCTGTGGATCGTGGGAGCGGGTTGCATCTATCCTGTATCGACACACACCAGCATCTCACGATCATTGCTTGACTGGACGGTCTTCATTGCTCCCGCTTCCCATCTACGGTGAACTGTCTGATTAGAAAATCGCGACGCAATGTTCTTTCGATTTGCTCTGACATGTGGACTGGCGATTGTGTCGGCCTTTACACTAGTTGAGTCGGCAACAGAACCAGAAACCAAGAACCTGATTGTGGACGCCGATCTTTTCGAGGCGATTGAGTGAGTAATAGTAGCACGTGAAGCTCTGAAACGTAGCTAACGCCGCAATAGCGACACCGCCGCGTTACTCCTCGCATGTACATTGCCAAACACGAACCTCCTCGCCGTGAACGTGAACGTCAACTCGACATACACAGCTTTTGCTGCGTCCGCAATTGTAAATCATTATGGCTACAACACCGTACCGATCGGGCTGCCTAGGCCTTTTACAAACATAACCTCTCCCGAACCATTTGGAAACGAGTACGCGAGCAAAGTAGCCGCTGAGTTTTCCGGCGGTTCAGTGCCCTTCGGGCAGGTCAACAAGACCTGGGATCCAGTAGAGCTATATCGCAAGACGTTGGCGGAGGCGAAGAACAACAGTGTGACCATCGTGTCAATTGGCTTCATGGGATCGCTGTCTGGTCTCCTCAATACAACCGGCGATGCATATTCCTCTCTAGGCGGCTACGAGCTCGTAAAAGCAAAAGTGAAGGAGCTTGTGGTTATGGGCGGTGGATACTCACCAGAGCCATCTCTCGATGAAGAGTACAACTTTGCTATTCAGAATGCACCGCATGTTGTCAACACTTGGCCCGAATGTGTTCCCATGACATTCCTTGGTGCAGAAGTGGGCGTCGAGGTTTCGTCAGGCGCACGTTTCACCGTGTGTGGACCCCAGAATGATCCGGTAAAGTTAGCCTGGGAATGGTACGGGTCCTATAACAAATCGGAATACTCGTGGGACTTTTTGACCATGGTCTATGCAGGCGGGGGTCTAGACAGATGGTTCGAGTACGGCAACAACAACGGGTACAACTATCTATACCCGAATGGCACTAATGTCTGGGTGGAGGACGAACGACGGACTAGCCAGCATTATCTAAAGCTCAAGATTTCGAACGAGACCGTCGCCCAAGAGATGGATAATCTACTACTGCGCGGCGCGTGGGTACACGCTAAATTGGACTGAAGCCTCGCACTATGGAAAGAAGGGTTTCAATCAGCCCAACGGTCTCTTAAGCTTTCAGGTTCTTGCAGTGGTTTATGCGGCTGTTCCATGGCGATCTAGCATTATTGTCTCCAGGTGTGGGGTTCGTAGAATAGCGATGCAAGGCTTTCACAACGCGATCAATGATCTGCCGACTATCTAGGTACTCTTTCACCGGTACTTCTCTCTTGCTGCGACTCATCTATTGGTTACACGAAAAGCGCCGATAGACTCAGGTTGAGTCACCTACACATGTGCACGGTGCAATCCGTGGATCACTAAATGCGACGCGCTGACAGCCTTCAGTGGAGTTAAGGATGTTGCTTTCGTTGGACACTATTCGCAAAACGCTGACAGCCTCAAGGTCGAGATCGGAACCGCGTGCCGACTGTCGATAAGTCGGGATGCCCATTATGGTAAAGATGCACCCTGCCAAGTGCGGATTCCGCTTGACGCCAAGGTCTTCTCACGGCGTCGTAATGGTTCATCGCAACGGTGTTTCCTTGACAGTTTGCCGACGAAGTTCCAATTGGTCGGAGTACTCCACAGCCTTTAGGCGAGCAACGACGAGACTTCACGTGCTTTCTTGGTCGCCCCGAAGCCCTTGTTGCGCTCCATTGCCAAGTATAATTCTAGCTTCCGCCGAGAAGCCAATACCTGCCTGTGCCCACAATGACATAGTCCCAGAGATGTCTTGTTGGGTAAACACACAACTCCATGTCTTGGTACGGCCGCCCCGTGCCTGATCTCGATGTACAGTTACATGCGCCAAACGCGCAGGATGGTGTGGAGAATCCATGGGGATTGTCACCCCAGAGCAAAACCTGACCCGCTCTTTGATGGAGAGAAAAGTGGGTGTGAGCTGTGCCCCCGGGATCCTATATAACGAGACCCTCTTGGTTGGCAGGTGTATGATCGTGTGTCTCTCAACTCATCCACTTTGCGATCAGGTATCTCCACTTGATCCAGGAGTTCCAACCTAGATTCGATATCTGGTTCTAGCCATCACCATGTCTGGTCGCAAACCCGACATTGAGGCTACAGAGCCTGCCTTCTCATCATCAGGTAGCAGCAAGTCCGACCTTGGTACTACACAGCACCACGAACATACCGGACCTGGTCAGCACCGACAAGCTTCCGTTGCCGCAAAGCTTCGAAATCCATTGGCAGGTCTTAGCGAGGAACAGGTTATAGCCGATGTAGACGCGTGGTGTGTTGAAAAGGGCCTGCAAGCAGACCAGGACGCGTTTCGCAAGGGCGCGCTCATCGCTCGTGTAGGGCAAAGAGACGACGGTTTCGAATATGTCGATCAACTATCGACAGAAGAGAAAGATTTATTACGACATGAGATCAACCATCGATGGTCTCAGCCTAAAATGCTGTACTTCTTGGTTGTACTCTGTGCTGGCTCTGCCATCGTACAGGGTATGGACCAAACAGCCGTCAACGGCGCTCAGGTTCGTCGCGTTATTGCTTCCATGCCATAGTCTTATAGTACTAACGATTGAACAGGAATTCTACTTTGAGGAATTCAACATCGGAGAGGACCAAGTCTGGCTTCGAGGTCTGCTTAATGGAGCCCCGTATCTCTGCTCTTGTCTCATCGGTTGCTGGTCCAATGCGCCTCTTAATAAGTATTTCGGACGTCGTGGTACCATCTTCATCTCCTGTATCATTTCCTTCATCACCGGTATCTGGATGGCAGCTGCCGATAGCTGTGAGTAATGTTTTCCTAGCTACACCAGAACCCAAGATTGACCTTTGACCTAGGGCCAAATCTCCTCGTGGCGCGCTTCATGCTCGGTTTCGCGGTTGGCGCAAAGTCATCGACAACTCCCGTCTACGCAGCCGAATCTGCGCCCAAGACTATCCGTGGAGCCCTTACCATGATGTGGCAGATGTGGACGGCATTCGGAATCATGCTCGGTTTCATCGTTTCCGTTGCATTCCAGAATGTAACGATTATTGGCGGACCAACCTCTCCATGGAGGTGGATGTTGGCCTCCACCAGTATTCCTCCAATGATTGTCTGCGTCCAAGTATACTTTTGCCCAGAATCACCGCGCTGGTAAGTCACGAGCCTGTATTGAAACAGCTCGATTATGAGCTAACGAAAGTCGAAGGTACATGGAGAAGGGCAAGTTCGATAAAGCTTTCCAGGCACTTTGCCGACTGCGTAAGCACAAGATACAGGCTGCACGCGATATGTACTACGCGTACAAGCTTCTCGAGATTGAAACCGCCGAGCGAGAAGGCAGGAATGCTTTCAAAGAATTCTTCACTGTCCGTCGCAATCGTCGCGCCGCACAGAGTGCTTTCTTTGTTATGTTCATGCAACAGTTCTGCGGAGTCAACGTACGTACTATGCGCTGTCAGATTCGAGTCTGTTCAACCGTTGCTGACAGTATTGACAGGTTATCGCCTACTACAGTACCGCGATTTTCAAGGAAGCTGGCTTCACGACATCTGAGGCTTTGCTTACGTCGATGGGTACTGGCATAACGAATTTTCTTTTCGCGATTCCGGCAATCTATACGATTGACACCTTTGGACGAAGGAATCTACTGCTCACCACATTTCCTCTTATGGGTCTTTGTCTTCTCTGGTGCGGATTATCCTTCTACCTACCTGAGAACCCCGATAACACACCAAGTCAGCAACGTCTTGGTTCGATCGCCGCTGCTATCTACACATTCATGGCTGTCTACTCGCCTGGCGAAGGTCCAGTGCCCTTCACATACTCGGCCGAAGCATTCCCGCTTCACCTACGCGATGTTGGAATGTCTTTCGCCACTGCAACATGTTGGGGATTCAACTTCATACTTTCCCTTACCTGGCCCGCCCTCAGCGCTGCCTTCACACCGACTGGAGCATTCTGTTGGTATGCAGCTTGGAACTTCTTTGGTTTCGTCTACGCCTACTTCTTCCTGCCAGAGACCAAGGCTCTTACTCTGGAAGAACTGGATACTGTTTTCGACGTAGGCAACCGCCAGTTCTCGGCCTACTACACTAAGAAGTTGCCATGGTACTTGAAGAAACACATTCTACGTCAGGATGTTGCGCCAATGGAGCCGCTTTTCGAATTCCATGAGACAGGCTCCCGTGCTGACTACGTAAATGAACCTATTGTTGGTGGCGGTGGAGTTGGTGCAGTGGAAGACAAGAACATTATAGAGAAGGACGAGGTGACCAAGATGTGAACATCTTCTCGAGGCAAGCCTGTAAAGCCGGGATGCTACCCTCTTGAACATCTTCACGGCTTGATATAATGGTGTGGTCCGTCGATGTAATTTGATGAGTGATTCTCTCCTCATACTTAGCAAGTTCGTTATACCCTGATAGGTCATACTATCAATCGAAGAATGGAACATCCTTGATTGTTCTCCCTGTGCCAGCACCCTACTGCCGAGATTCTACACAATGTCGATTTTGTCATTCTACGAAGGCCAGAATGCTATGGATTCGAAGATTTCTAGGTGATATTAAAATCACAAATGACAAATTCTTTTACATACGACCATAGGACACTGAAAATTAGGCTTCCCGTCCGCTCAGCCATATACAAGCAGTGTACCGGCGGATTAGTAGTTAGGTGGGTGACCACTAGCGAATCCCCGCTGTTGTATGTTTTTGTTTTTGCTTGGGTATAGAGCGTACGAATCGATACCTATGCGTGGGGCTGACAGTCAAGTGGTTAAACACAGCAAAGACGTGTTAAGTCTTTACATTTAATGCATCAACATACTAGGTAAAGGTAAGCTGAATGAGAAAAGATGTGTTCATGACAATGCATGTACCACGTGAATCCGTGATAGAATGAACTTGGAGAAGCGATTAAACTCATGGCCCTCCAGTTTCTGCAATCTTCTTCTCCTGCAAAACCCTTCTATCTTGTTTCTGCACCGCAACGGTCTTGTTGGTGTATTTCCTCTTATCCACCGACGGAATGAAGAACGCGGCCACCACACCCAGCAACCCAAACGCCAGTGCTACCAGATACGACAAATGTGCGCCCTCAAGATACGCTTGCTTATTTCCCAAGCTCGCCGCAGCACGAATAGCAGGGGTGATACCAGGAATAGTCGCGTACCCAGCCGCAGTGTTCGCCTTCGCAGCGACAATCAATCTGGTGATGACATCCGCCGAGAGATCAAACGGAGCGAGATTAGCTCGAACGCGCTCAGGTAGAACATCCCCATACTTGTTATTCGTGACATTCCCGAAGATAGCAGTGGCCACCGCGCCAGCGAGGAGACGAGAAGTTCCTGCCAGACCTGCAGCAGTGCCGATATCTTCTTGGTACACGATACCGAAGCCTACCAGGACCATGCCGTTGAGAAGATTGACAGAGGTACATGTCGAAATGATGACTGTCAGAACGATTGACTTGGCAGGATTATCCATTGTGGAGGTGGACATGGCGCCTACACAGGCTGTTTGCAAAGCGACGGCGAACATGATGACCCAACGCTGATGACCGATAATCTTACTGAAAGCTACAATGATGCCGCCGATGATGGTTCCTAGAGGTAGGACCTCGGCGTACAGGCCTTTGGAGATTTCGTCGCTAGCGTAGATGAGCTGGGAAAGGCGAGGCCAAAGCGTTGCGTTGGAGTAGTATTGCATTCCGCCTATGGCCATGACGAGCATTGGAACAGTGAAGTGACGGAGGGCTCTAAACAGACGTGGGGGAAACAAGGGCGCGGCTTGGGTATAGTAGGCTTCATAGAATCCCAATCCAATCAATGTCACCAGTCCGATGATGATGGGTGCGAGAACCGTCGCAGAAACCCACGGAGCCTGGGATCCACCCCAGCTCACACCAACGATGAACAAGGTACAGCCAGCCAGGAACAGAAACAATCCCAACCAGTCAAACTCTCGCAAGACCTGTCCAGCCGACTTTCCATGTTCAGCCCTCTTCTCTTTCCATGACGGCGGATGGTAAAAGAAGACGAGTAGGGCAAGATTGATGGTCTGGAAACCTATCATGACGTAGTAGCAGATGCGCCAATTACCCGTCTGCTTGATAATGACCCAGCTGACTAGTGGCATGATTTGTGCTACGATCGAAGCAGCGTCGAATAACCCGATGGTAACATGTCGATATTTGCTCGGTACAATCTCTTGGACCGCACCAAATGCCATCTCCAGGAATCCGGATCCGCAGCCGAACAAAGCACCACCAGCGATCATTTGGTTGATGCTTTGTCCCGTTGCTGAAACAATGCTGCCAATGATGAGAATCACAGCTCCCGCAATAAAAAACCATCGTCGGCCGAATATATCGGAGAGTCTTCCACCAACGGTGACGAACATGGCGCCGCCGAGGTTCCATGATATCGTGATCCATGTATACCTGGGATCTGGACCAAGTTCGGCATTGATGTACGTAAGGATGGCTGGCGGGATGAGGAGAGTGAATAAATAAGCGTTGTAGCACATGGCCATTGATACAGCGGCCATCAATGTGCGAACTACACTGTGTTAGATATGGTGGGTGGAGAAGGCGGGTGTAAGTCAAGATACGCACAAGTCAAGCCTACATCTTCACCGGTGGTCTGTAAATGACGGACGATTTGCTCGTTGGCATCATTGCTGGAGAAACGGTCGTCTTGATCAGATGTGTTCGTGCTGTCGTCAAGCGCTTCGATGTATGCCGCCGAGGACTCGTTCTCCCCTTTTGCAGCCATGGTGAAGCAAGGTGAAGGAAGATCTGGACGGAACTATTCGAAAATCTCCAACACTGAGCTTGGAGGATCAGCGGCATCCTATATACCACCCTCACCATCCGTTACGTCCGTTGGTTGCTATGACCCGCTCGCTACCCCAGGATCAACCCCAAATCGCCCCACTCACGCATGGAGATAGCGACATGCCACTTGTGCACCAGTAAGCGATTTACATTCGGGTATGCTTTGGTCCTTTACTACAGAATAAGCGAGAGCACCGTCATTGCCGGTCACGGTAAAGAACAGCATGCTGTGTGGCGTAATCTGGAAGATCTCATTGGTTAGTGCTTCTCCAGTCGGAAAAAGATAGCCAATGCCTGTTTCCAGTCCACTCGAGGATGGCTATCGTTGTCCTGCTGTGCAACCATCGAAAAGAAATCGCGCGGGGAGTTTGATGGCTGCCATTGTTGTAGTGTAATCGATGTCACCGCGCGGTTTTCCCAGCATTTCATTTGTGGTGCGAGTGTTTCGCGGTTCATCAGCTTTGCGATGGAATGCTTGGAGCACGTCATCCGCCCTTGTAAAGTGAGTCGTGCATTAATCTGAGTTGATAGTATACGAGAAACCCGAAAGAACGAATTCAATAGCGAGAAAAAAATCAATTTGTGTCATGACCGGATATCGCGAGTATTTCGAAACGCCTTCAAATGCTGCATTTATTAACGCCACCCAATGAAAGAGATGTCAGAGCTTATAGCGCCTCGAGCTCGAAGTCGTCCAGCTTATCGCGGTACTTCATAATGTTGCGCTTGATCTTGGAGGAATCGACCCAGGTGACAAAATCTTCCATGTTCCTTGTGACAAGGTAGGCCGGGTCCGTGACGACATCCGTACCGACTCTGACATGCTGTGAATGTGTTAATGACCAAGTTCCTGATTGAGAGCCGACTGTGATCTTACTCCTTGCTCGACGAGTGTGACAGCAGACTGTACATGATCTGCCATGCGTAGCCTAGTCATGACAACCGGTAACCTCCTCCGTGCAAATGCCGACACCGTAAGCTTGTGTTCAACGTCTGAGAGTTTTCCACGGCCGCCACCACCGGTACCGAGCAGACCCATGGAGAACAACTTCTCCAAGATCAAGTCCTCCTGCTTGTGACGGAAGGGGTCGGACGGATCGAGAGCGGCTACGCGGTGGGCAAGTTGTCGCAGGGATCCGGCGAGCTGATTATATTTTCGGTAATCGTCGCGTCCTTGGATTGCGTAGCGACGCATGACGGCTGCTTCCCGGTGATCATTGTCGCTTTTGTACGTGTTGAAGTCGACCTAAAAAAACATGTCAGTATCATGGAACTAGTATCAAACATCCTTTCAGGCGTCTGATGCGCTCGACATGTCGCCATTGACAGTGAAGAGGATGGCGTATTCAGACGGCGATGCGCCACAGCAGCGGCGAGCAACAGGCGGTCCGTACCTTCTTCAAGAGCTTTTGCTCATGATGCTTTAGCTTTCGCACCATGTTGGCGTTGCGGGTATGGGGTTCCGGTACGTGATAGAGGTGGTGGTTGTTTCTTCGCGCATCTGTCGCGAGACGATGAAGCCAAAGAATTATTTGACAGGGGTCCGCGGGCACTAGCGGCTAGCGCTATGACTGCCCCTCCAATGACGGCGGGGTGCATCCAAATTTCCTGTGACTGTTCGAGTCCAACACTCTTACACTCATTCCTCTACTCACCTGTCCAGCCATGCCGACTGTTCACCTACTCGATTACGTCGCGGGCAACGTCCGCTCTCTCGTCAATGCCATCGAGAAGGTTGGCTACACCGTCGAATGGGTCAAGACGCCCGCCGACGTCCCATCCGCCGAGGTACTACAACCTTGCTACGAAGAAACGCGCATCAATTGACAAATGCTGATACAGCATCGCCCGTAGAAACTTATTATTCCTGGTGTCGGCCATTTCGGACACTGTCTCTCCCAGCTGGAGAAAGCTGGCTACGCCGACCCGATTCGCGAACACATCAAGTCAGGGAAACCGTTCATGGGAATATGTGTTGGCATACAGGCCTTGTTTGAGAGCTCAGAGGAAGATTCCCAGGTCAAAGGTCTAGGTGTTATTCCTGGGCGACTACGCAAGTTCAAAGACACAGACAAGAGCGTACCCCACATCGGATGGAACAGCGCAAACACATCGCGCACCGGCGGAGTCACGGATGACTCATTATACGGACTGCGACCGACTTCCAAGTACTACTATGTCCACACATACGCTGTGCCATACGAGGAGGGCAAGTTAGAGAAGGAAGGCTGGACCGTCGCAACCGCACGATACGGTGACGAGGAATTCGTTGGCGCGGTAGCCAAGGGGAACGTCTTCGCCACGCAGTTTCACCCTGAGAAAAGTGGTGCTGCCGGCCTACGCGTACTGAAGGCCTTCTTAGAAGGAAACATGTGGCAGAAACTCCCAGAGAAGCCATCAGCGGCTGAGACGAAAGAAGGACTGACACGACGCGTCATCGCGTGTCTTGACGTACGGACAAACGACCAGGGCGATCTCGTAGTGACAAAAGGTGACCAATACGATGTCCGCGAGAAGGAGGGAGCCGGGAATGCAGTGCGCAACCTGGGTAAACCTGTCGAAATGGCCAAGAAATACTACGAACAAGGCGCCGACGAAGTCACCTTCCTGAACATCACATCCTTCCGTAACTGCCCCGTAGCCGACACGCCTATGCTCGAGATCCTGCGCCGAACTAGTGAGACCGTCTTCGTTCCCCTGACAATAGGCGGAGGCATACGCGATACAGTAGACACAGACGGAACCAAGATCTCCGCCTTGGACATTGCAACTATGTACTTCAAGTCTGGCGCCGACAAAGTAAGCATAGGCTCTGATGCCGTGACCGCAGCCGAGGAATACTACGCGCGAGGTAGCAAGCTAGCAGGCACCACTGCCATAGAAGCCATCTCCTCTGCATACGGCAACCAAGCTGTCGTCATCAGCGTAGATCCGAAACGCGTATACGTCTCCTCACCAGACGCCACACCCCACCACACTATCAAGACCTCGACTCCTGGACCCAATGGCGAGGAGTACTGCTGGTACCAATGCACCATCAAGGGCGGACGCGAGGGCCGCGACTTTGACGTCCGACAACTCGTCACTGCAGTAGAAGCCATGGGCGCTGGAGAGATTCTGCTAAACTGCATAGACAAAGATGGAAGTAACAGTGGATTTGATACTGAGCTCATCAACGATGTCAAGAACGCGATCAAGATTCCGGTCATCGCAAGTAGTGGCGCGGGACACCCAGGCCATTTCGAAGACGTCTTTGCAAAGACAAAGACTGATGCTGCGTTGGGTGCTGGAATGGTGAGTACACTGAGAAAAAGAAAACAAAACAGCATAGGTGTAACCCAAGATACTGACGACTTTTCTAGTTCCACCGAGGCGAATACACAGTCAAGCAAGTCAAGGACCACCTCCAAGAAAAGGGACAAGTCGTGCGGCCGTTTGAGGATGACATCTAAACGCTTCCGACGACTGGGTCGTACTTGTCTAGTATTTCGTAAACATGTATATATACAGAAGTAGGGTTTCTCCGCCAGACATAGCATGGACCAGTGGACATGCAAGTACTCATCGTACTGCCGTATCGACACATGAACATGACTTCCTACATGTAGATCCCAAAAACCACGCTCCCCGTGTTGTAAGTGGTCGTGCCGTATACACCAAATGATATTCGTATAGGTTTTTCTGCAAAGATCTAAAGCGTTGAAATCAACTTTTGTGGCCTCATTCCCAATGTGTTATTTTTGCATCAAAGATTCGCTCATTTCCTCCTCTTCATGACCTTGGTGCACATTTCGATGAGACCGGTTTTCGCCTCGCTCTCGGGGAAGAAGGATATAGCGTCGATGGCTTTGTCGACGTAGTCTTGTGCTAGAGCGCGGGTTTGTTCTAACCCTGTGCTTTGGGAAACGATTTCGCGAGCCTGGGGTCACGTAAATGTCAGTCTGAACCTACTCTCTCCCAAAATCTCAATTACGACTCTTTTTACTCACCCGTTGAACATCGCCCTGCTGCGAAAACTTCCTTCCGACCAATTTGCCCAAACTCTGGTCATCCTTCCATGCAAACAACAACGGCGCTGTCGCAAGTCCGAGTTCCAAGTCTGCACCAGCCGGCTTACCCAACTCAGCCTCACTAACAGTGTAATCCAGCATATCGTCCACAAGTTGAAATGCCAGACCAAGGTTCTTGCCGTACAGATACGCCGCCTCGACGACCTCAGGGGACGAACCTCCCAGAATAGCGGCAGCGCGACAGCTCTTGGAAATGAGCGACGCAGATTTAAGGTATGTTTTTTGCAGATAGTAAGTGACTGTGTCTTCGGTCCACGAAGGGTTCTTCTCATCCCGCGCCGTGTTCTTGAGCTGCATGAATTCGCCCTCGACCAGGTTTGCGATGACGGTAGCCAAAAGTTCCGTAACCTCTGGATCGCGGAGTCGGGCCAGCGCAACGGACGCTCTTCCGAGCAAAAAGTCGCCTGCTAGAACGGCCATTTTGTTGCCAAACTCAATGTTGGCCGAGGGCGCGGAGCGGCGGGAGACGGAGTGGTCGATGACATCGTCGTGGAGGAGACTGGCTGTGTGGATGAGTTCGGTGATTTCTGCTAAGCGGCGTTGGGACGGGAGGATGTCGCTGTCTTCAGCGGTATACGCCGAGTCGTGTCGTATACTGCTAATGGGACTCTGATCTGGGTTCTCGTCTGCTAGGATCCGGGGATTGGTTATCGAAATATCGGCGCTCTGGGCCCCGATGCCCATGCCTCCTCTTGAACCCCGCGGCGTAAGTGCCGTGGCCCTGCTCATGAGCAATACCAACATGGGCCGTACATATTTCCCCTCACTTTGTGTGTAGTACTTGGCGACTGTGTCGAGGGTCGGGTGGCCCGAGCCGAGTAATTGTCGAATATTTCCAGTGAGAAACTTCATTTCGCGGGCAACGGTTTGGAAAGGGTCCATCTTGATAGGCGCATCTGGTGGCGGCGAAGACATGACATTTTGCGCTACGTTGACGGCGGCAGCCCACGAGGACTGGTTCCGCCGCCGTGAAGGGTGGTGGAGTGTCGGTGTCGTCGCATTATGGGTGTGTATTGAGCGGTTGGGACATGTGGAGCGGCGCGATAGAGAGAAGGAAGTTTGCTGTCGCGCGACAGAGGTCGCAAGCCGGGGTGTTCGGCTCGTCATCGAAGGGTCTAGCTCAAAATTATCTCGACAAAAAGAAAGAGACGGTACAATTGAGGGGCTGTACCAGCGTCTTTGGGGCGTGCAAAGAGGGTGGTGGTGGACATTCGCCCGCAGCTATCGGCTAGATTTGACCAAGTCAAAATATCCATGACGTTCGGAGCGCTAGCTTCCCTGGGTTCCGCATATCCCTGTCGCGTCTGCTCACCCGCGTGCCTGGTGACAAAGTGACAGCGTTTCTTACAACACACGATAATCCAAAATGGTCCTGCTTACTATGACTCCCGGCATCGTCCGGGCAGTCGCAAAAGCCAAACACCTATCCGCCGACGGATACGCAAAACTCCAGCACGCCGACTCGCCCGCGCTGGCAGAACCCAAAGTTGGGAATCCCATCTCCCACAGCCAATTGATCGACCTATCCAAGCTGCTCAAGAGCCATGTCTCCAAGGATGTTCAAGACACAGAAGACAACCAAGAAAACACACCCCTAACCCTCGCCGCCCTCCTCGCCAATACAACAATCTACATCCCGCCCCCTCCTCCCAAACCTACCCAGACACCCGAATACCTCGCCCTGATGGCCCGTCTTCGCGCTGAGCAAGAAGCCCTCTCTTATGAGCGCATGCTGCATCCCCCACCAACACGCGAGTCTTTCTCCCAGCGTTTCCCTCGTGCCCCAGAGCCCTTTTCACTTGGAGCAACGCAAACCACTAGTGAAGAAGACGACCTCTCCTACGAAGAAGTGCACCGCCAGATCATTTTGATCATAAACATCCTTATTTCGATAGTATGTGTGGCAGTCTTCATCTGGGTTGCAGCGCGACACTGGAGTGTGGGAAGTAGATTGGGACTGAGCATGGGAGGGTCGTTGGGTATTGCAGTTGCCGAAGTGGCTGTCTACAGTGGTTACGTGAGAAAGGTGCGCGAGGCAAAGAGGGTGGAGAAGAAGAAGCCCGAGATAAAGGAGATTGTCAAAACTTGGGTCTTGGGCGACCAAGACGGGAAAGAGGGTGACACAACGGCATGGAAGGAGAAAGATGGAGATGGGATTAGGTTTAGGAAGGGTAAACATCGTTGAAGATGGATCAGATTACGCCAGTCATGCTTGGAAAAATACCCATCATTACTGCTCCCAGACAACGCCCACAATGCAGTTGTGTCCACTTACGCCAACGCATAAATCACAAAGCTAGAAACGACTATCGAGTCTTACTTCTTGTCCTTTCGTCTTCCGGCTACACCCCCAGCAAATCGCCCCAGGTTGCTGAGACTGGATCTGGGCTTATGCCCCTGTGCTGGACCTGGCGGCACAGGCGCGGGAGGTGGCCTCATGGCGCCCGCCGGGCTGCCAGGCCTCAGTCCTGCAGGTTTGGGTGGTATAGGTGGCGTGGGGGCAGTTGGTCCCATCTTCTCCTGCACCTCTTCCTCCTCGCCCATGCTAGCCATCCGCTGACTACGCCTGGCTTTTTCCTGCGTCTGCTTAAATCTCTCCAGCAACTCTGTCCACTTCACGCTGCCACCCGCTTCCGGCCCGCCCAGACCATCTCTGGGTTTCAAGCGGCCTGGGCGTTCGAATGTTGAAGCACTGGGTCCCCCAGACGACGGGATACCGCTGCTACTACTGCTGTTCGAGCCAACTTCTGAGCTTTTTTGCCGCAAGTGGTTTAATGTAGGAGAGGAGGAAGAAGGGTGAACATACGTCGAGCTGCTGCGTTGCGGCGCAATGTGCAGGTAGCCGATGGCCGAGACGCTGTTGAGGCGGTTCTTAAGCGCTGCAAAAGCCGATGATTGAGGCAGTAGCATGAGCAGACCGTACATGCACTTGTAGAGATGCGGGTACCGTTCCGGCTCGAGAAGCTGCATTCGGAGGTCTAGCCCAGTACTGTTAGCGGCAATATTTGCGATCGAATAGTCGAAGATCTTACATGTGAAGACGGGAGATTCTAAGAGCTGAACGAGCTTGTCGATTTGTATGAGCATGTTGACTGTCATCTCAAGATCCGCACTGGCAGGATTAGCAGACTGTCCCATACAAGTTCAGAGGGCCAAACATACAAAACCTGGAGCAAGTGGTATGCTTGCTCATAAGCTTGGGCAAGAAGACACAATGAGAAGGTGGCCACGGCGTTGTTGCACCACGCTTTGAACAAAATAACGAAGAATGATTGACCGTCCTTATTGTCTAGATTCCTGAGTCGTCTTCGTAAATCGGCGAGCTCCGGTGCAGTGATCAAATTGTTGTTGAGATTCTGGACCATGATGCTAGCAAATTCGACATCCTCGTCTTTTGCAAGACAATCAGCCATGGTGCGATATATGCGCTCTGCGCTCAGCGTTATGCAGAGCTGCCTAATGATGAGATTGCCACGGGTCTCAAGAAGTCGGCGGTCCGTACAGAACAGCTTCAGGAGATTGACCATGAAGGAAGTAAAGTACGTGTCGTCGCTGTGCAGGGATATTTGTGACAAAAGCAGCAGGTCACGCGTGACCACAGCATCCGAAGGATCGGAAAGGGTCTTGAGCAGAGCAGGAAAGGTACCGTCGTCCACTGTCAGTATCTGCAGATTGTCAGCAACGACTTAGTTTCCGAAAAGCCTGTACTTACTCTGCCAGGTGCCATCCTGTGCAGCATTATCAGCCATGCTATGGCCGCAACGCGAGTGGCCTCGTGTTCATTTAGAAACTGCAGGGTTAGAGCACTAACAGCAGCTTGGTAGTCAAGCTCTGGTATCGGACGCGGCGATGTGCCTCTTTCTTCTGCTGGTGTGGGGGAGCGTGTGCCCTTGCCATCGGGCGATTCAGCCTTGTTGGCTTGATCTCGAATGACTGCCTTGAGCAGTCGGCCAGATAGATTAGAATCCCGCCGTTGTGTTCCAGTGAGCTCTTTGCCTAGCTCAGATAGGGAAGGAGGTAGCTGAATTTGTCCACCTGCAGCACCGTCGCGGGGGCGGTTGTCATCAGACAATGACAGGATATAATCCATCAACGAAGCGTTGACCTTGACTGCAGCCTTGCGAACGGTGTCGACCTCATGTGACATTCGTGGCAGGACGTGGGACAAGAGACTTGGGACGAACGGCATAATGTCTTCTGGGCATATGTCGAAGAAGTTGTCGATCCAGCGGAGTGCTGTCAGCAGTATCTCAGTCTGCTCTTCTTCCGTATCTGGTGGGGGAACCAAAAAGTCGACTAGGATCTCAAGAATCTTAGGATGGTCGACGTGCACATCCTGACCAGGTATCCAGTTTCCGTCTCCGTTGACAGACCTTCCGCTGTCGCCGGAAACAGAGGCACTCTCTCCACTTGCATCGCCCTTCTCGTCGATGGAGTTGTCGAGCTCGAGGGGCGTGCTGTCTGTCGCTTCGCTTCCACTATGGATGCTACCCACAGAGTGCCTGCGTTCTAGTTTCTCGTTGCCCCCTTTGCTGTCGGCTATACCCTTCTTGATGCGTGCAATCTTCTTGATCTCAGCAAGAAATCGGTCTAGCGCCTGCTGGGTCATGGTGTATACATCTTGGTTGCTGTCGCTCAGAAACTTGAAGAGGCCGCCGAGGAAGCGCGGGAGGTGGGCGATGAGCTCGAGATCGGGTATGGAGTCGAGCAGGGTGATCCATGCCACGAGGAAAGAGCGCGTGAAGGGGTTCAGGACGTTGATGCGCTCTTCGAGGAGGGGCAGGAAGCGTTCGAGGTTGAAGGCGAAGGGGTGGGGTTCGTCTTCGGGGTCGTCCTGATCGGGTGTGTCGTGTAGCACAGAGACGTAGCTGGCGGCTGACTCTGAGACGATGTCTTTGATCAGGCGATCCAATAGTTCTGCCCCGTTCTTGACAGAGAGCTCCGAATCTGCAGCCATCTGGACGGTCCGGGCCGTGTTAGCCTGGTCTCACGAGGGGAGTTTGTGCGGTAGCCATGTCCTCACCTTGCAGAGCGCGTCAAAGACGTGGTTGAAGTAGACGAGTATCTCGCCCTTGGCCACCTTTGCGATGTTGTACATGCTCTCGCACGCATAGTACCTGACACGCGCATCTTGGTCGCCGAAGCAGGCCAGGACGGGGGGCACGATCTCCTCGAGATAGCGGGCGACTTCTGGGCCCAGGGCTATCGAGGCAGCCGCGAGTCCGATGAGACCGCCGTTGCGGGCGTGGGGCTGGTGGACCGCATAGGCGTACTCGTGGCAGAGCTGGTGCACGATGCGGGCTATCCTGTCGTGGTCCTGGGCGGCGAGAGCGTCCCGGATGAGGCCCTCGAGCTCGAGCGCGCCGCTCTTGCGCTTGTCGTAGAGCTTGTCATTGAGGGCTTTGGTGATGTTGACGTCCATGGTGGGGGACAACTCTACATGTGGGGGACAAATCTACATGGTGCAGCAGGCAGCTTGTCGCATCTTGCGCTCTATGCTTTGCTGCGGGGTCAGGGTCGGGGTCGGTGGTCGCGTATGTTGGTGTTTGCTCGCTCACGATACAGCCAGCAGCAGCCGAGCGAACCATGCATGCAAGCCGGGCCCGCACGTCATCGTACACCTACACAAGCGCCCCCATCCCTGCCCACTAGACCCCGCCGATAGACGAGACATGTCCCAAAACAAACTCCCCACGCCCATCTCAACATGTTAAGACGACGCACAACTGCCCTTCCTCACGACCACAGCTGTCATGACGATTGGCAGCTCCCCTTGCCGCTAGGCGCTTAGTCTGTCCAAGTCACTCGCTCGCTCTGGCCGACGCCCTTGCCCGTCGCCGCCTCACCTCACTCACAGTTCACCTGCACCTGTCAGGTGCCACAAGCTGGTCCATGGACAGGTTTAAGAATAAGTTTCTGAAGCCTCACCGTCGCTCCCAGCGAGAGGAAGACATGGAAAAACTAAGGGAGCCCAAAGTCTCGCCCATCGCGACTGGCGGCTTCAAGCACTGGGCTGTGGCTTTGTAAGTCCTGCATGTCTCTGCCCTGAGTGGCGAGTGCTTACGGCAGCAGTATCGTCTGCAACTTCAATGTCGATATCGGGTAGGTAATTGCTAGTGCCATGTCTATGAGAAATGTATTGAGTTTGGTAGCCCAGAAATCGAGATACTGTACCCACCAGATGTGCCCTTTACGACGGCCGACTTGAGTGCTATATGCTTCAACAGGTACCTGAATCAGCCAGTCCTGTGTCGTGCCAATCTAAGACGCGTCTAGCTTCCCTGAGCAACAGAATACAGAGACAGCCGAGGATCTCTCTTACGACTTCGCCATTACCAACAATTCGCCTGACATCAAACTAAGTTCGCCGAATGCCCCTCATGGCAGCGCTGACACCTTTTACGGCTCGTGTATCTTCCCCCAAGAGTTCGACGATACCATGAAGAGAAGCTTCAACCAAAGAACTCTCGTTCTGATCTCACATCACAGTTTCACTTCCTTCCATCATCGCATCTTGCAAAAGATGACAGAGTCGGGACATCTCAGCGATCCGACAACTATAGAATCTGCACACTCGCAGATGAACACATGGGAGCCTCCAGCTCTGCGACGTCACCATCTCCCATTCATGGGCACCACACTGACTTTGGACATTGCACCACATCGTGCCTTCCCCCTGCAAGGACTCCCTGGACCCACGCCGCTAATCTCAGATATACCCTTGTCCATCTACGCCTATGAACCCATCGGGTCCTGGGACAACATCATGCACTATATGCCCTGCATCACCGACCTTTACGTACTGTACGAGAAGCTGATACTCTGCGAAAGCGTCATCGTCATCGCAAAGTCACCGCAGCTGGCGAGCGAAGCCGTCTCGTCGCTGGTCGATCTCATTTGCCCCGTGCCATACGCAGGTGTGGTCAAACCCTACATGACCATGCAAGCCAACTTCAAGAGCATCGGCATCGACGGTGGAACCCCAACCTCATTTGTGATCGGCATCACCAACCCTTTTCTGTTGAAACGCATCGTCGCTGCAGCAGAAGCCAGCCACAAAGCCCGGCCACACATCCTCTATCTCCAGAACTTTGACGGCCCAGTTCCAACACGTCGCCATCACTCGCTCCACCACAAATCAAGTCGCAACGCACTTCTAGACCTCCCCGGCGGCGGTATTGAAGTCCACACTCCCTCTAAACGCTTCCTCAAATCAGACCCGACTGTCGTATCGCAGATCGAAACTCTGCTCAAACTCGGCGATCAAACCCGCGAACTCGGTCCTATCATCCGTCGCCATTTCGCAGACCTTACTGCACAGTTCATTTCGCCCATCAACCGATACCTCGCAACGTCCAACATAGTGACGCCAGGCGGCAACAACAGATATGCCAGTTTTCACGTACCGGATCTCATGAGCAGTGTAAGCAAACACGGTACAGGTGTCAAGTTTCGCGGCTCTGGGCCTATTCAACGCCATCGCGCCAGAGATGGGCTGTACGAAACGTTTTGCAAGAGTCCGAACTTTTACTCTTGGTTGGAGATGAAGATCAGTCTGGAGAACGAGGCGAGTGCAGGCTTGCTGAATGCGCCTGTTGCGACGAGTGCTGCTGTTAATTGAGTTGAGCTGGGTTATGGAAAGGGTTTGGATTTGGTTGTTATGCATGAAGACAGCGAGTGGGGAGAAGCAGTAACGTGTAATTTGCAATGAGATACCACCACCAGGACATAGAGAGTGTGCTAGCGCAAATCGGGCCTATAATATGAGTTGTGTTTTTCAAGATTAAAATTGTACTCAGAAGTTGATCAGCTCATGTCAATCGATAGAGGATGCTATTGGCGCCTTGCTGCCGAATCGCAAGCGGCTGTACGTCAACGGCTATTGGTGGGTGGCTGTGCATATTCCGGTCAGCACCTCGACAGCAACTGGGAACCTTTCGTCCAATGCCCACTGCCGTGCCTCAGCTGTGCCGCTGGGGTCGCTGTGTTGGCCAATCTGGTAGGTAGGCAGTGCAGCGCTTCCTCACTGTATAATGATGCCTTACTCCACACGCCGTTATCCCGTCCACTGTTCAACGTCGCAGTCACAAACACATCGAAAACCGTCATTATCAGGAACCCTCCGAGATGGATCAACATACCACAGAATACGACTATCCACCTTTGAGAAAAGGTGAACGATACATAGAAAAGAACGACGGATCATTCCCTCCAAAAGACGCATCTCAAAATGATGTTTTTCTCACCGCTTCACTTGAGAACTATCACATGGTGACGACTGGCGATATTCGAATCCTGAAACTTGATTCCGGGTCATTCAACGATCCTTTGAGCTGTCGATTGGATGTTCACTCCCTCGAAAGCTACCCAAAGTACGACGCACTTTCGTATAGGTGGGGAAACCCATCACCTGAGGGAAGAATCCTTCTCGACGATGTACCATTTCCCGTAACTATATCGCTCGAGAACGCTCTGAGGCATGTGCGCCTGCGGGACGATGTACGCTATATATGGGCAGATGCCGTATGCATCAACCAACAGGACAAGGAGGAGCGTGGAAACCAGATTCACCTGATGAAAGAGATCTACTCTCGATCCAATACTGTGAGAGTTTGGATTGATATAGAGCTATCTCTTGAGGATCCTGTTGTTCGAAGGCTTTTCACTCTTCGACTGCAAGACGCCGCCGATCAGCTGGGCGAGGATCCCGAGTTCTGGAGATTACTTCTCCCGCTTCTCCAGAATGAGTATTGGGACAGGCTCTGGATACAACAGGAGCTTGTCTTCGCACCAAAATTGGTATTCCACTGCCGAGGAGTGACTATCCCTGGAAACTGTTTAATGGCACTTCAACTTCAGATTTCCCGAAAGTTGGCCGGTGGTAGAGATGCATTCGATACTGATGATCCATGGAGCCTGTTCAGACCGCTAGAATCAACGATCAAGGCCCCTTCCAGGAATTTAGCTTGTTGGCGGGCGATGATGAAGAATAAGGTGCCGGTCGATCCACTTACTCTTCAGCCAGATCTCACTCTTCTCAAGCCGAAGGCTGAATGGAAGCTTGATCCTAGAAAAATGAGCTCACACCTGAGTACCAGCCCAATCTATCTGTTGGGTATGCTGCGGCAGTCACAGGCCTTGAAGATAACGAAAGCAGAGGACCGAGTCAGAGCCGTTCTGAACCTAGTCATCGACTATGATGACGATGGTTCCGAAGCAGATTGCGAACGAACTGTTACTGAATGGTATCTTCGCATCGCTCAGCTACTGCCATTCAAATGCAATAGCCTCCTATTTCTGGCCATGGCTAAAACATCAACTAATTCCAACGATAATATCCAAGGCTTGCCTTCGTGGGCTCCAAATTGGAGCTCTCCGGCAAATGCGGAATACTTCTTGGGCGCCTTCCATGCTGCGGGAGATTTACCTATGTACGGGACGCCTTTTCAAGGCGATATAGAGCATGATATCCTACACGTTAGGGGCTTCAAGTATGCTACTGTCGATCAAATGCTCTCAACTACCGATAACGCCTTGTCTCCCCTTTCGAATATGTTGAGCCTATTCATTTCAACCATAAAATCCACCGTATACCACTATCGCGATGTTCAGAAGCTTGGAAACATTCTCACCGGCCCAGCTATGGCTGAGCTTCGCATACCCCGTGATTACTTCAGCGAAATGGAAGCGGTTATCTACACTGGTGTTCTGCTTGGTCATTCTCTCCTCAATCCTCATCTTCGCATTGTCGATTTGCTTCCTCGTGGAACGAAGGTCTTTGACCATTCAGAAACAAAAAATAGGGCTGCATGTCTGGTTTTGCGAAGATTTCTTAACTTTTGTCCCTCATGTCTCCGGTGCCTCTGCCTTGGAGGAGAATCCGATCTAGTTCAAGAGCTAGGAGGTAAAACTGAGCGCTTCCGACAATTCATTCAACTGGTACACAAGACTTTGTCTTCCGGATGTCTGACATCTATCATATCCTCCAAGGTCACACCTAACACCACGCCTACCACCACTTTTGCCATCACGGAAGGAAGGGCCTTGGTGAGATCTGGTGACGAGGTTTGGATACTTTTTGGCTGTGCAACACCTATGGTACTTCGGAGAACTGGTCGATATAATGTCCCATACTTTCTTGTAGCTTCCCCAGCCTATGTTTCCGATGTCATGAATGGAGAAGCGATGGATGGGAACTTTGGCGGCTGGTCTAGAGTGTTGGAAACGAAAAAGTTGGGTCCCGCCCCTGCAAAGCCATATGTATCGGGAAGAAGTAAATGGAAGGTGAGGGTAATCCGTCTGCGATAGGTGTCCGTCAGTAAAGATATCACGATGCGAAGTGGAGAATTTGGCGGTTGGAAGGTAACCCCTGATGTAGGAAAGGAATTGAAGGAGTGCAGTAAATAGATAAACTTTTCGGAAATTTTTGATGTCGGCGAGCAGGGCGTCTAAAACTCGCGAAGAGTTTACAATAGGATTTTACTTTGTAATCTTAATAGATCCCGGATTTTTCCTACACATATACGTCTTTGAACACTAAAGATGGAGTAGCTTTCAAGACCTAAAAACTAATTTCCTTCTAGAAATCAGTTTGTTCGCCACGGTCACAATAATCTCACGTTTAGTATCCTTGTCCTTACCCTCCCCTTCTCTTGGTGCTGTCTCGAAAGTATTCCAAACCTCAATATACTTATTATCGCTGTCCCTGGTAGTGTAGATTGCATGAAACGCTTCCGCCATGCGATCACGCGTTTTCATAGCTTGGAAGTCTTCCAACGTAACGCCCTTGCCTTGCTGATTTGTCGCATTGCGATGATAGACCGAGAACTGTACGCAATATAGTACCAAAGCAGCCAAACCTGCTGCCAAGGCTGTCGCGACGCTCGAGCCGCTGACTAGACTGCACTTCTCGAATGGCACATTGCCAGGCCGGTCTTTGATGACCCGGTCGCCAGGGAAGATGAAGTCGACATGAGAGGCCCGAGTCCAGCGCCAGGCGGTGCCCCATGCTGTCGCGGCACCGATCTTGAAGCGTGTTGGGTTGGCGGCTGGATGGCTCCCATTGGCGTCGGTAGCCTGGTCGTTGGCAGAGCAGAAGAGAAGGATGTTCTTCTTAGCCGCTTCGTCCAGAGAAATTTCAAGCTTCCTGATGTCGGCTTCGTTGTCAACCGTCTTCTCGATTGTCCACGACATAGAGATAATGTCTACACCTCGGTCGATAGCTGCGCGCACGGCCTTTGAGACGGGGATTAGTTAATCAGTGCAATAGAATATGCTCACAGGCGTTGAACGTACCTTTTCGGCGCTCTTAGCCGTAATTTGCCGTTTGCCTTGCTCTTTGCCACTATACTCATCGAGCCGAAGAACGTAAAGCTGGACCATGGGACAAACCCTGCAAATCAGGCTTGCCATGACGGTGCCATGAAAGCCACTAGTTGCCCAGTATGGCGCGTTAAGATTGTTTTGGTTGCGGAAGCTGCGGCCTCCAATCACTTTGTCGACTACGGATTGTTCGTTGATGTCTAATCCATCGTCGATGAGAGCTACCACGATTGGCCTCTGCTCAACCCCACTCAAGCGCGAAGTATCCAGATCGACGTTCTGAATGAAGGTTGCGAACTCATCCATGCACGTTAGCCACTTATGTTGATCCTTTTGTGGCTCTTGTGCGGCCGTTAGTCCCTCCCCGAGTTCCGTCTTCTTTAAAGGAAGTGCATCTCGTTGGACTTCGATTGTTGGTGGGAGTGGTTCTTGGTTCTTGGAATCGTTGGATTGCTTGCTTTCGATGCTTTCGATGAGTAGGCTTCTGTTGTGCTTCAGTCTTGCGCAAAATGCATCCAAGTTCCGTTTCTCTCTCGCTCGTGTCTCCAAACCCTGCATTTTAGTCAGTGTTTGAATCTTTTTAGACTCGGGACCTGCGCACCTGAGTCGCATACAGCACGACTGTGTCAAGCTTTTTCAATTGGTTGAGGCCCTCTGACTCACTCCAGCTGCGCAGGACAGCATTGTTTCCACCCCAGTAGAGGTTGACTTGACTGACATTCGGGGCAGCTTTTGCTATGACCTCGGAGCTGAGATCTGTTCTCTGCCAGTCCCAAACCTTGAGCACCTCAATTCCCTGGAGAGCTTTTTCAATGGTCTCATCACTGTGAGCCGGCTGTTCGCTATCGTCGATGTATAGATTGAAGATTCGCTTCACGCCCTTGCTTCGAAGCCAGTCAAAAATAACCGTATAGTCATCCCGACCTTTGCCTGTATCCTTGGCAGTAGACCTTGAGAGAAATTTGGAAACCGCAGCTGGAGGTTTTTCTATCCGGATGTTGGGGAGCAACACGTATTTGAGAGTATCTTCGAAATTGACGTAACTCATCTTCTGCAGCCTCTGCAATGAAACTATGGGAGGCCCATCGGCCAATGACCAGTACAGCTCCTTTTCTGTCGCGCCTTTAGTCTCACTCAATGCTCTCTGCTGTTGATCGACTTACCTTGAACTGGCCCATAGAGAAATGAAACAATGCTTTCGTGATCTTCTTGGGTTCCCATGTAATACAGCTTCAAGAAGTCTCGAATTGCATTTGCCGTCGTCTCTGTGACCACTTCTTTATGTTTGGATGCCTTGTTAGTACCCGAGGCCGGTGCCTTGGACACGGCAGGCGACATCGCCACAGATAATTTCCCACCTGGCCTAGATTCATTCACAATATCGAGTCGTGTAGGCTGGCGCTGAATTCCTTTCATTGGAAGATCCTGATGCTCAGTCGCTGAATCCTTGTGTCTGCTCTGTGGCTGTTCCTTGGAGCGATTGAGCTGGTGGGTTGGGACTGGACGGACCTGATCTGGGGCTTTTGGCACCTGTTGCCCTCCTGGTACACTTTTAGAACTTTCCTTTGCGTTTCGGCTGCTGGTTATTGTTTTGTCGCTCGATCTGTTACTGCTGCGCTCTTCTCTTGTGTCTTTAGCCTCAGCTTCAGCCTTCTTCGCTGCTTGTCTCGTCTTCTCGTGGTATCGATACACCGATAGCCGATACGGCTCGATGTCGGCGCCTACATTGACGTTCAGAGCAGCGTCGCAAGCGTTCACTAGTGCGCGCACGACGTCCATTTGCGATTCTGTGCAGCGCTCCCACTCGACGGCAATGTGAAGCGGGGTTTTGAATTCGTTATTCTGGGCTTCCAGCGTCTTAGCATTGCGTACTCGTTTGATGAGCTTGAGGGCAATTCTGCGCGCATACTTGTGCTTGCTGAGCATGGCTTTGTGAAGGCAGTTGTTATTCTTTGAGTCCACAAGCGCCAGAACGACATCGATATTCCCCTTGGCATTATAGGCATCGCACATATACTCCACAAGTTTAGTGATGCCGCCTATGATGGCCGCCTGCAGTGGCGTGGTGCCAGCACTGTCCGTTTCTTTCATGAGGTGACAATGCTGCTTGATCACATGTTCCACGAGCGGCTTCAGCGCACTCGCGCTGTCCTTTCCTGCCTCTACAATCATGTGCAGAAGATTCCTCGGATTATGGTCGTTTGTCCTTTGGTCAAGGTAGTTGTATTCGTCCTGGTTGCTGATGATGGTTTTGATGTTCAGCTTGCCCTCCCTGAAGCCGGCGATGATGTGCTCGAATTGGACTTTGATGTCTTGTTCGTGCTCTTCTTCATCCTCACTTCCCGACTCACTGGAGTCCCCCTCCTTGTCGGTCTCGCTTTCGGCAGCCTTATCAGTATCATGTCCATTCGCTATCTCCAATTCATCAGGTTCTTGTAGGCGTGTGCTTTCCATGACGGGCAGGATACAGTCTGGTATGAACGAAGTTTTGTTGTTCTACCGGAACGCAAATAGATGGGCTGGGAAATCAGCGCATGCACACATTTGATGGCGCACTGCAGAGCTTGGCCCGATGCAGGTAGCAGGCGAAACGGCTGCCATAATTGTGTCCACGCTTTAGCGGCGGGGCAATCCTTGAAATGGGGGATGATTGGTGTGGTAGGGCTCGTGACTAAGAAATGGCCCCCACACAGCACAGCTTCCTTTCTAAGTATAGTTATATTATAATTCATGGGTGCGCCTGAGAAACGATATGTATTCCTTCCCAAGGCAGCCTTGGTCTTCATAAGCATCTTGACGCGACTATGGCAGAAGTTTCCAACAACGACCTCGTGCAAACAGAAGAGGAGTACGAGAATGACGACGACGACGATGACATTTTTGATATTATACTGAATCCCGGCGGCGACGAAGGCAGCTCATTTCGCACCAGAAACGATCCGTCAGCGCCTTACCAACGTACCAATGTTACCGAACGTAAAGGGGCACTGGACATCCGCTGCTCCTGTCTGGACGTGATTCACGGCCTCGTGAGCCCCGATGCCGAAGAATTTGCGACAATTATTGTTCTCAACTTCAGGTTCGACAGCCGCAAGACAGCAAGGCGCATTTTGGCGGTGAACATCACCCTCCAGTTTGCACCTGAGCAACCCGGTGACCCCGGGCCCGAAGTGTTTCGGATCGCACCCTACGATAGTATGGTTATGGTTCAGACAACACAGATGGAAGAGAAGACAACCATGGCGGGCGTCAGTTTGGGGGCACCTCCGCTTGTTGGTGTAGAGTTGGGGGCGGAATTGGGCTGGGAACGCAGCGTCAACAGAGAAACTACTGATGCGACAAAAGTGATTGGTTCAATTGATCTTTTGGGAAGGACTTATGGGAACGCAGACAGCGCATCGTGGTCACTTATTGAGAACAGTACCACCAAGACTGGCGTACCATCAACGATGCGTACGGCAATCTTGTTGAAAAGGCAGGACGAGAAGCCGTTTCGCTGCAATTTCAAGATAGAAGCCAAGGTTGATCCTAAAAGTTCTATGGAGAAGAGCTTCCAAAGGCTGTTTGGGGGACGACCCAAAGACGATCCTCTGCTCTTTGATCCAGAGCTGCCTCCTACCAACAAATTGCAGACGTACGATCTCACCGCACTTGGATCTGTGGACCTGGGCAGCCTCTCAGGCGTGACTTTCCAAACCGTGCTTGACTCTGCAGTAAAGCATATCTAGGATAGTTTGATGCGAAAATTCAATGTAAATACTAGATACGACTTCACCAAAGTTTGAAGGTTGCAAAAATATGTTGGCCATATCAAATGATCTTTTCTCGATCCTGTGCATACATGAGTAGCATTGTTTGGGTTTCTTACTTCTAGGATGATCACGCACAACTGGATTGTAGTTTGGGTTACGACTTGGGTTATGACCATATCTGACATAATCCTTACTTCTTTTCTCATCCTTGATAGCACTGCGATAGCTACATACAACACTTGCAGCCGCGGCGGTTCCCATGTGACACTTATGTGATTTAGCGGTGGGCTTGGAGATTCGGAGATGAACATTCAAGCTTCATGCATTCGAAAGCAGGCCAGGAATTCTAAATCGGTGTATAGAGCATATATCGTACTGAGAGTGGGGATGTTGTCAGCAGCCACAGCTTGGGGCGTCAGCAGTAACCAGGTTGAGATGTGCCCGCAGGGGCAGAATTCTTTGTATCACCCACTAGACGTAACTCCATGCCCTGTTTATGCAAATAAAGTGGGGGCGGATGCTGAGTTACATATTAATCGCTTACGCGACCACTTGCTCGCACGATTCTGAATCCAAGATCGTTGCCTACACTGTACATACTCGTAGCGCAATCCTAAGGGTACGAATAGGTATTTCAGCTGTTAGCCGGATTGAAGGACCTGAGGGTGCCGTGGGTTCAGCTAGATTCTGCATATGCATCACATATCACATGACTAGCCTTGGCAGGCTAAGCGGTCATCTCATGCACGTCAGCATCTAGCATAGATAGCAATACACACGACACACCTACCGAAACGCTCACATCACACGCTGACGAGTCTCCGCCCCCAACGGCCCCCGCTTAGGTATGACTAGATATAGACAGGGTTCCGCTGGTGTGAATGCGGCTGTGCTGCACGCTGCACGCATAATTGCTACCATGTGATGAAAGTTGAGCTTGAAGGCGCACATCAGCCCCTCGCTTCGCGCTTTGCTGTTGCGACTTCTAGCACGATCACGCCTGTTGGACCGACTCCCATTCTACGCGCGGGATTCGGATCGGGGAGAAAATGTCTAGCATCGCATCAGACCATGATGACCATTCTTCGGCAACATCATCATCATCGACAAGTGACGAGCACGACACGTCTCCTGCTGAAGATGTTGACCCCGCGTCAGGCACCCATGCCAACGGGTTGCGGAGCAGCGTTGCAGGTGTGATTGATCCGGTTGTCGTGGAGGAGGAGGAGGAGGAGGAGGAGAAGGAAGCAGCGGCGACTATGGGCTTCAGGGCAAGGATAATCATGTGTTTGCGAACGAATTCGAGTAGGTCAATCTGGCGAGGCTCGTGCATCATGGGCGTATATCCATGTTCTGACCAAGCAGCGTTGTCACCATCCACGGTCTTCACGGCCACCGTGAGACAACTTGGCAAGCGCGGGATGAATCGAAACAAGAGACAGTCCGTGGATTGAAGGAATTCGGGTGGGAGCTGGGCTTCCGTTTGATGAATTATGGTTACGATGCTTTCAAGACGCTCTCGAAAGAGGGCATCACTAAGGAGGCATCAAAGTTACTGCGTACGGTTGCAGATGCAAGGAATGCAAAAGACAAGGTAGATACCTTTTGTGGGAGGGGGAGGGTGAGAGACGTAGGCGCGCATTTACTGATAATTTTCTTGTAGGATTGGTTCCGCCCGATCGTCTTCGTTTGCCATGATATCGGAGGCACGATTGTCAAACAAGTAACAAATGCCCTTCATGTGGAAGGTGTCAGCCTAATGACTGCTTCCAGGCTTTGTATCAGTCCGTCATGAATCCAGGATATGCCGACATCGCCGAGTCCACCAAATGGATTGTATTCAACCCCTTGAGGCCAGTCAACCTTATGGTCCTTGGCTAACGAACCGCGACTTAGTTATTCATCGGCTATCCACACAGATGGCATAGCGTCTTCGATATGGAAGAGAAGATTGCATGGCTTTTCTTCTCGGGTTCAAAATTACCCAAGGGAAATTCGCTGCTTCACATCAAAAGCCTCGCAAGGGCCGTCATCGATTGCAACCTGGCTTTCGTAGAGTCCAAGATTCTTCTAAAGACGGATATCCTCAGTGTCCGATCTACCCTCACGGACCTAAATGAATGCGTAAGATGCAGTACACACGGCATGGCTGAATGATGTCGAGTTAACTTTTTGCATTTTCCAGATTTTCCCTGAATTTGACGCGACGCTCGCGACTGGAACTGTATACAAATACGAATTTCCTCAGCCCCATGCGGCTTTGGCCTGCGCAGAGCAGATTTCGGAGTTGAAATCGACCTTTGAATTCTTCAAAAATCGGCTACAGCTAGGTAGGGTGAATCAAAGCCGCTGAGGGGGAAGATGATAGCAATGATTGAACTAACATCGATTAGATCATGGACTGGTGAAATTAGCAGAGGTATCATCATATATGAACGCACTCGTGGCACAGGCGCCTCCGGTCCGACCAGTCCTATTCAACCGATATCAGAGAAACCCTCTGGCTAACAACCAACAATACATCAACTGGCGGGAGAGCACTGATTCCAATGTTTTGGTTATCCATGGGCAAAACCCAAGGCCATGGCTTTCTGGATCCGTCTTCGAAGACCTACTGAAGAATTCCTCAGATGATGGGATTTGGAGCTACTTCTCATTTGATGGGGGCGATGACCGCTACAAGGATACATGGGCATTCCTTTCAACCATGGCCACACAGTGGGTAAGGACGGAAGAGGTTCTCAAATCCGACTTTGACTTTGAAAACGACATGTCTCGCTTTCTAGCACAGCGCACTCTTACTGAGGACGACTTGCTTGTGTTATTGAGCAGGATTCGATACTTCTACAGCAAGGGAGAAATGGTGTTTGTGCTTGACAACCTGGATGAATGCTCGGACAAGCTCTCTTCGTTCTGGCGTTTGGCAGCCGAAATGTCAGAATCGCGGGAGAAGCAATGGAAATTCCTGATCATGACCAAGTCGATAGACTCGCTCGATGAATGGCTGAAGGGCTCGCCGACAATTGTACTCGAGGATGAATTCTCACTGGAAGATTTCGATCCCTGCGTCAGGGATGAGATTGACTACGCGTTGCATCAGCTCGATGCCAGATACGCATCAACACTGTCAATCGGCAGATATCGAGACGATATGTTGAGGAAATGCGGTAATGATGTTGGCCTGGCCCGGCTCCTCGTTCAAGATATCCAGAACAGCCCCTCTTTAGATGCTCTCACAAATGCCCTGGAGAGGCTTCCGGAAGTGAATTTGGAAGTTCTCTTCCGGAAGACTATGCGCGCCGTGCCGGAAGCTAAGCGCAGTCTCGTGGCCAGGGCCATTACCTGGCTCGTGTTTGCCTTTCGGCCCCTTAGTATTGGCGAACTGCGCTCAGTACTTGGCATATCTGAATCGACCCAGGATGCAGATGGTATGGGGGCAATGAATGCGCTGACTGGCATCCCAATCTTTGATTTCTCCAACCCGCAGGAGATGCGCTTCCAACATGCAGAGCTAAAGAATCTGATTCTCCAGTGTGACAAGGAGGAGTGGTATCATGTCCAGGCAACTGCACACGAAATGATGGCAGAAGCCTGCCTTGCATTCCTGGGCACCACTAGTGCCTATGATGCTTTAAACATGGTGTGCGAGGTTCGGCATGGTGTTTTGTCAACACCATGTGTCCGGCCCCGGGTAGATGTAGCCACTTATGCTGTGTGCTACTGGGATCGACACTATCGACTTGCATCCAACAAGAGTCGTTTGATAACACAAGTGGTGGAGTTTTTCAAGAGCAAGGCAGCGTTCCGGAGTTGGCAGATGGCACATTGGTTCATGTCGAATCCGTTCTCTCGGGTGGACCGTACCTATGTTTGCCTACTACCGGTCGTGGCTTCCATGGGCCTGGACGATGTATATGAGCGATGGATACAAGACGACGGCATGTCCGAAGCCGAGCAAAAGCTGTGGCTTCCGTATGCTGTGGCCGAGGCGGCAAGAAACAGACATGGCAGTTTGGTGCTTCACTTGTTACGGTCAGTGGAGCTGGACAGGGCAACAGCCGAGTACGTGCTCGAAGCAGCTTGCTCGGGGGGAGACGAGGACGTGCTTGTGGATGTCGTGTCACACATTCGCAAGACGGCGGTGCCATCATTCACATGGCCGGCTTTTGTCGTCCGCCGCGCGGCATGGAATGGTCATGCCAAGGTTGTGCAGGCGCTGATAGACGAGGGCGCCGACATCAGTGGCAACGAAGGAGCGCCGTTTGGCCAATGCTCTCTGTATGTAGCAGCACGCAACGGCCACGTCGAGGTGGTCAAGCTGGTGGCCATGCACGATGAAAGCCTTGTGACGGCGCGCGACGAGCAGGACAATTCGGTGCTGGATGCGGCGGCCTGGCAGGGAAATGCTAACATGGTCAGACTGCTACTCGAGAAGGGCGCTCCCCTTAACGCAGACGACGGCGGAGCCATTAGCAGTGCATGTGGCATAGGCGCGCACGCTGCCGTACGCGTGCTCCTCGAACACGGGGCGCAGACAGAAACGAAGGGCGATGGCGAAAGGTGGCCGCCGCTGCACATGGCTATCCAAGAAGGCGCGTGGCAGTGTGTTCAAGAGCTGCTTCAGTTCAAGAGCGACGCGAACCACGAATGCTTAGGCGACACGCCGCTGATGTTTGCTGTCAGAGCAAAGCGGCTCGACATGGTGCAGCTGCTGGTGGAGCATGGGGCGGATGTAAACAAGCGGCATGACGAGCAGACGGCGACGGCTCTGCAGACGGCTGTGAGCCAGAAGGGCGGGCGGGCCATGGTGGAGTGGCTGGTGGACAAGGGCGCCGACGTCAACCTGCGCACGCCCGAGAGCTCGCCCCTGTTTGGCGCATGCCTGGAAGGTGATGTCGACATGGTGCGGCTGCTGCTCGACAAAGGCGCCAAGGTGAACGACGTGTGCAGCCTGTGGACGCCGCTACATAGCGCATACAAGAGCGCCGCCGTGACGCGCCTGTTGCTCGAGGCTGGCGCATCCGTTGATCAAGTTGTGGACGGGAGCTGGCGCCCGCCGCTGTTCCTCGCGGCCGAATGGGGCCAGACGGACGTAGTAGAGGTGCTAGTCGAGCACCATGCCGACGTCAACCTGCCCTATCGACCCGCCGACGTCGAAACGCTGTCCGGCTTCACGCCGCTGCTCGCTGCCCTCAAGGCCGGCCATGGCGACACGGCGCGCGTGCTGCTCGAGGCCGGCGCCGACACCAGCATTAAGCCAGCAAGTGGCATCCATCCCGTCTTGTACATGGACACGACGGACTTGCTGCGCATGGTGCTCGAGTTCCAGCCTGACCTTGGCCTGGCCGACCGCGACGGCGACACGGCCCTCAACGCTGTCCTAGAACGTGACACCGTCCAGCTGGCGGACGTGAAGCTGCTCGTCCATGCCGGCAGCAACGTCGACACCACCAACACGGCCGGCTGGACGCCACTACACAAGGCCATTGACAAGGACAAGCTGGACATTGCGCGCTTCTTGCTCAAGCGCGGCGCCAATGCCAATGCCCTCGCCCTCGAAACCGGCGCCCCGTTGCACCTGGCCTGCTCCAAGGCCTCTCCCGCTGCCGTCCGCCTCTTGGTTGACGCCGGCGCCAATGTTAATCTCATCGCCTCCTACCATGGCTCACCTGCCCAGGCCGCCTGCGGCCGCTCGTTCGCTTTCGGTGTGGATGTGGAGGACGACGACGTAGAGCGCACGATACTCGAGGTCCTGCAATGCCTTGTTTCCGACACCGCCACGATGGACGTCAACGCCACCGGCGGGCTCTACGGGTCGGCCCTAGCCGCCGGTAGCCACCGCGCCACGGCTCCAGTCCTGCAATTCCTGCTCCGTCTCGGCGCGACGACGGACACGTGTGACCAGGCCGGCCGCTACCCCATTCACCTCGCCGCCGTTAGACCTACCACGGCCAACTTTGTCGTCCTGCGTGACGCCAACGCCAATCTCTACGCACGTGACAACGCCGGTCGCACGCTGGTGCATTTCGCCATCGTGAGTGGGAATCTGCATCTGCTCCGTTGTGTGCTGCAGGCCACCAATGGCCTACTCCATGCACCCGATGCCGACGGCTGGACTCCGCTGCACTACGCCGCCAGAGGCACCTACTACTGCCACTCCGACCTAGTCGATCAGGACATGCGCGAACAGCGCAAGCATGAGTTTGTCGTCTTCCTCATCGACCAGGGCGCCGATATCTGCGCTCTCACCGTTGGGCCTGATGGCAAGCAGTCATCGCCGCTCAAGCTGGCCAACTACCATGGTGCCAAGCAAGAGACTTTACACCTGTTGACGCCCGATAACAATGTCAACAACAATGCCATGGCATGGGATCAAATCTCTCACCAATCAAAAAAGGCCTTTGATGCATGGCCGACTATTTACTGCGATGCTTGTCTCTACGTAAGTCCAATCCTTTTTTTCTTTGTTTCTAACAAAGATACTCATGCCTAGTCACAGAAAGTCAGCGGCTTCCGCTACGAGTGCAGAGATTGCTGGGATTTCGATTTTTGCTACAAGTGCTATGCCAACAGACATGTGCTGCACCCACATCACGAATGGAATACCATGGGCCAGGAGTTTGAAGACGAGCCAGATGCTCAATCCGAAGCCGCTAACCAAGACTCGGACAGCGATGACGACACAGACTCGGAAAGTGATGATAGCTCTAGTAAGGAGTCCTCTACATAGAGAAAACAAAAAATGAATAAATTTCATAGAATAATAAGTAGCATATTCAGACCACCAGTGGCTGCGATGAGGACGAATGCAGAACAAGCGTGGTCGTAGGTGAGATTTATCAAGTTGCAGGAGCTCTTTCAGCGGCCCAGGTAGCACTTCATGGATATAACGAAGTGCTTGGTGCCTATCATAGGCAAACTCTCAAAATGGGCTAGGAGCTCGGATAGTTGTATCTGGCCTAAGCAAAGCTTACTCAGGCTGATTGTGCATTTGCCTAATCCGATCATAGTTTTAACGAAACAAAGAAAGATAGATGCTTGTCGGCAGAGATACCTCAGTTTGAAGTGATAAAACTAGTGGGTTGAAAAACGACTTCCCAATGCAAACAACAGATTCGATTGATGTATCGTATAGAAGTGACGTTCAGGACTTATTTCTCATCAGTAACCTGGGTGTGTCATTTGCGATTTGCATCTCCTACAGTACGATACTGTGATGGATGTGCAGACGGTGGTGCATCCCGCTTCCGGACTAGTGCGGCTCCGCGCCCCGATCTCGCCAAAAAGCGGGCAATTTTCCAGCAGTAGTAACGACAACCCCACAAGCAGAGTTCCCTAAAGCCAAACATGGACTTCACCAAGTTGACCGAGATTGAGCTACCAGCGGCTTTTGATGCCCATGTACATCTCCGCGATGGCGAGATGTCGCAGCTGGTCACACCCACGATTCGCAAGGGTGGTGTGAATCAGGTGTATGTCATGGTAAGCTAGCGTCTTTTGCACAAGCATCCTGTTATACTCGAGTCAAGTTTCTATTCATATCTTGCCCAACCTGTCTTGCTCCATCTACTGCTTACCCTCTTGCAATATCTACTCTTCTTGTTCCCATCTTTGGGTTTTTCTTTCTTCACAAAATGCTTGTAGTGCTTCTCTAACTTCCACGTGCTTACTACTATAGCCTAACCTCGTCCCACCCATCACGTCCGTGCAGCAATGTCTTGAGTACCGCGACCGTCTCCAGGCAATTGAACCGAATGTGGATTATCTCATGTCCTTGTATCTCCACGAAGACATTACACCCGAGGTGATTCGTGAAGCAAAGAAAGCGGGAATCACAGGTGTAAAGTCCTACCCAGCAGGTGTTACAACGGTACGTGTAACTCCCATCACCTGTTGACGACCAACATAGCTATCAAGTGCAATATGCTAGACACTACACATGTATGCATCGAATAACTCATCATTCCAGAACTCGTCCTCCGGTGTCCTCGACTACGAGACCTTCTACCCCGTCTTCGAGGAAATGGAAAAACAAAACATGGTCCTCAACCTCCACGGCGAAGTCCCATCCACACCAGCCGGCACCCACGTCTCATCCACCAAAGACACAAAGACAGGCGCCATCACCATCCTCAACGCTGAACCCGCCTTCCTACCTACTTTCATCTCCCTGCACAAGCGCTTCCCTAAACTCCGCATCATCCTCGAGCACTGCAGCACGGCCGCCGCTCTAGATGCAGTCCGTTCCTGTGGCCCCTCGGTGTCTGGTACTATCACCGCGCACCACCTTAGTCTCATCATTGATGATTGGGCGGGCGACCCATTCTGTTTCTGCAAGCCTGTTGCTAAGACGCCCGAGGATCGCGATGCGTTACTCCGCGCTGTTGTGCAGAGCAACGGGAAATTCTACTTAGGGACGGATTCGGCGCCGCATCCACGGGGCAAGAAGAGGGGTGAGGATAAGGTTGCTGCGGGTGTGTTCACCCAGCCGTATGCGCTAGGATACGTATTGGATGCGCTTCAGACGGGGATTGAGAGGGGAGTCATCAAGGAGAGTGAGGTGACCAAGGAGGTTCTTGAGGGCTTCTTTGGGGTGTGGGGAAGGAAGTTTTACCAGATTAAGGAAAAGAGGGATGAGAAGGTCGTTTTGAAGAAGAGTGGGGAGAAGGTTTTGGACGTGTTGAAGAAGGAGGGCGGCGGAGATGTAGAGGTTGTGCCTTTCAGGAAGGGTGAAATGACCTGGAGTGTGGAGTGGAAGTGAGCGTCCGCCCCAACATCGACGTTTCGCAAATTTCATGTCTACAGATGTCTACGTCAAGCTTGTAATGTAGTTCCCAAATACAAGACCCGACGACGAAGCGTATCGCCTGGCCTGGCCTTAGCTAACAAAGATTCCTCACGTTTGTCAGACTCTTCCATCCACGCTCTCACGCGTCTCTGACTCTGGTTTCTTGTTCCATTTCATTGGGACGAATTCCACGGACAATCCTGAATGACGAGTTTGACGAGTTTTTGATGAGCTAGTCGAACTTCCTCTGCTACGCCGATGTGAGAATACAGAATTTCTACTACTATTCTCTGCTTCACTAGTAGTGGAATTGTCCACCGATGGCATTTCTCTAACACGTGGCTGTTTCCGGGGTCGCTCCTCGGAGAGATGGCTCTCGCTTTCCGTAGTGCTGTCTTTTATGTCATCTTCCCGATTGCGTTTCATGGGCGTTGGTACCATAGCTGGTCCGGAAGATGCCATACTTGACAACGATAGTCTGCCGATGCTAGAGGTGAGGCTTTTGGAAAAGCGGGAGAAAAAACCCGGGTTTGGTTGATCGCAGCTACTAGACTGTGAGAGCGTAGGTGCCCGTATAAGCTCGTGTGCGGGCCCATCTGATGGTTTTGCATCTTTTTTGGATAGAATCGAACTACTGGTGTCATCATGCATGTTATCGACGGTTCGTGATTTCCTGGACATCATCACCGCCTGTCCAGCACTCTTGTTACTTTGTTCCTTCTGGAGTGATGATACTTCGGGCACGATAGATTTGGAGTCGACCTTGAAGCTGATACCTTGATCTGACTGGACCGCGATATCGCTGGGAAAACCGATCGTCTCCGCAGAGTTTTGTGTCGTCCCATTCGCTGTGAATCCTAAATCGTTCTTCTGAACAGCTCGAAGTAAAGCTAGCCCTATTGCAAAAGCAACTTTTCGATCCACCCCATTTCCAACGATCCTATATTGCTCGTTAAGATTGCCGATGATCGGCTCTTGATCCATATAACCTTGCGTACGACGAGCCTCTAATACACTAATTGATCGATGTTGGTCCCAATGTAATAGTGCGCCGGCGCGAGAATTATAGACAGCAAGACCCGTCGTGATACATGGTATCAAACCCTTGGCTTTAATCCTCTTGTAGGCCTTTCCAGCCTCGGCCCTTGGATCTCTTAAGAGCGTCGGAATGAGGCCGCGTTGATCGGCTTCTCTGTAACCACAGCCCGGTGGTTGTGTCGGAATGCATTTAACAATTGCCCGTTGTTTGCGTGTGGATAGTCCCGGCACTCTATGATCTGGAAACGGAATGCAGGTCTGAACGATGCCGGTTCCAATATCAGGCAACTCATCACTCACAGTCGATGCAGGTACATATGCAAAGGGTGTAGGGTAGTACTCTCGTTCACCAAATCGCTTCCCGTTGGGTAGACGACCAAGGCTTTTCCCAGCGATTTCCTCCAATGGTCGAGCATGAGTGTGCCACGGCTGCGCTATCAGTTCGAGGCCTGGTGCTGCTATAGTAAGGATCAACCGTGAGCGTTGTTGCGCACTACTATAGCTCCATGCATCCATAATGTATTGGTTGCACTGGTAGCCCATTGAAACGAGGCAAGCAACTACCTGCGATAACACATTTTGATTTTCGTACCCAACACGCGTTGATGCCATATTGACCACGTTCTCGAGAATACCGTATAGGGGCCGATACAGATCGACATAAGAACAGAATGTACTAATGTGTGATGCGTTACGCAACGACGGCTCACTGAAAGGATTCCGCTGAAGAAGTGAGAACCCAGGACACGGAGATCCAGCAGCGATGAAATCAACATCTCCAACTCGAGGAATGAGCTTCGGTCTGCTACCCTTCAAAGCTGCATTCAAGTGGTCGTCGACAGAACCACAAAAGAGAGACATTGCCTTTGGGTTCTTCGCATTCGCTCGTTGAGTATGGATAGCATGTGGACTGAAGTCGACAGCAGAGTTGAAGACGACTGCACCGCCTTCTTCAAGGCCTCGATCGAGAGAACCTCCGCCACTAAATAGGCTCATGCCTCGCAAGGTTTGTTGAGATGAAGTCATATCGGGAACTTCGTTGAAACTGTTTGGAAGACTGCGCAGGAAGACGAGGCTCTTCTCCTGTGCCTTAGTGATCGTTCCCATAGCTAGAAACCAAAGATCGCCTGCACCACCACGATTGTATGTGAATGGTATGCAGTCATTCACAATGTCTGACTTGGAAACAAACTTGATGTGGCAGCGCCTCTGGATACGAGATAAGACCACCACCTCATATTCGTCAGTAAGCACAAGCTCATTTGGGGCGAGATCGACTCGACCAGCCTCCTTTGCCAGCTCCTCGCAGTCACGCTTTAGTCTTAGTAGTTTGCGTATCGTGGTCGTTTGATTAGCGTGATCGATACCCTGAATGACGACTGGATCCAGGATTTGATATCCGTGCAATGCTCTTGCCATGTATACTGTGTCGCCGCGGTGATAAGTCTCCTCTGGCGAGCTTTTGGGTCTTAGGCATATGCAAGTCTTATGTGAGGGTTGGACGGTTACGAAAGCGCTATCCTGAGTAACGTAGGTCTGACGGATGAAGAAGTGGTTGGCATCGATCTTACTTGGCGACCAATCTATATCGTACCTTCCGTTGATGTCAGTAGACAATAGCTCCCCCTCGGTACAATTGCAGTTGTCGGATAGAAAGACCTCGTTGTCATAAGGATACCTCGCTGTAGAGATGTTGGTCTCATGATGGCGATAGATCCATAGCACGAACAACTTCTGAACTCCGTTCTTCAGAAGCTCCGTAGCCTGAACGTAGGCAAGCCAGTCCCAGTTCGTATTACGCCAAACTCTGCAATCTGTTTCGTTCGGCGTTAGTGCAACTATGTCGCCTACCCTTACTGGTGAGTTTCCGTAAGGTATACAGACGTTTGGTCGTGTTGTAGTTGTCTGTCGTGCTGACCTACGTTTGGCGAAACCCAGTTTGCGCTTCCTACGCTCCTGTTCGATAGCAATAGTCTCTACCGGACGTTGCTTGCGTAGTTGTCCACCGAAATACATGTCTTTAAAGCAACTAAATACCTCAGGCGTAGCGATAGTTTGCTCAATAACCCTCTCTTGGAGTTCGATAGCTGTCAGATCTTTGGCCATGCATTCGCTCCATAGCGGATGCGCTAGCAGCTGTTTCGAGTTTGGGAGGTTGAAAGCCTGATTGTAGAAATATTCGATATACGCGTTGACGCCAACGCGAAAGTCAGTCTGGTGTCTGAAGGCACCGTGCCATCGTCCGAAGTCTGAGCATTGTGCGAATCGTTGCGTCATCATCCAAGCATGAAAACCTTCGCGAAACTCGTAGAGTCCCACACTGCCCGCCGATTCCAGGTAGTCGATCACATGCTTTCCTAGTTGCGCAACCCAAACGAATGATTTCTGGAATCTCCTGTAACCTAGAGCGGCTTTGTTAAGTCTGTACCAGACGTCATACACAGTATCTTCGGCAGCGAGAGTCGATTGTATGTAAGTCGTGATACCAGCATTCTCTAAGTCCCCGTATCCCTCAATAGAACTATCTTGAATAGGTACAGCGTGCACAAAGTGCTTAGTCGCGCCTAAGCATATAAAGCCGTCAAAACATAGTTTCTTGGTGATAGGAATTTCGAGATAGTGGAGGCTAATCAATTCATATGCCCTCTTCTCACTGTCCGGTGTTCGGTAAATTTCGAAATCTTGTAGATCCACAATCAGAAGCTTCTTGCCAGATTCGTTCCCATCGCCGAAAGGGTGCCCGGAAGAGTGTCGCTTCCACTCAGTCTTAAATTCTCGTAGAGCCTCCGACTCAGGCGTTACAGGTACTGGTGGTGACCAATTGGCTACATGCGATCGTGCGAAATCGCTAGTCGCCGACGGACGGATGGTTGGTTGGCTTCGACGCGTTGTGTTCTCGCTCTGTGGGCCTTGCCGCCGCATTGAAGAGTCTGGTGTCGATATAGTGATACTGTCTTTGGTAAGGGCAGGTGGCATTATCTGCTTGCGGATCTGCAGTGTAGGCAATCCAGGCGCGCTCTACAGCGGTGAAGGATGGCCGAACGCTGGAAATGGAGTGTTGAGCTCCGAATTAGGCCGCAGCCATACTGTTTCAGTCAAAGTGAATTTGCGGGTGACGGCGACAGTTGAACGGTGAAATCCAGCTCTTGCAACAACTGTGTGCGACCAACAAAGGACTCAGGACGCCTCGCGGTCAAACTGTAGACAAAGACAATATAATGCCAAATCAAACTCACGGTCTGAGACGAAGTTCAAGCATTTTCTCGGCGCATCAGATCAAGTGGCGAGTGCCGAACTCAGGACGTGGTAGCGACATTCGGAGGTAGCAGGCAGCGGTGCCTCACCAAGGCAAGCGCACCAGCGACCAGCTCACGAAGAGGCAGGAGGGACGTGATCATCGCATTAGAGAATTACTCATCGGTATGTGATTAAGGTCGTTCTCGAATAGCTTGTACCGAGATTTCAAGATACACGGTTTCTTGCGATGGAGATGGGATGATGAATATAGAATGAGCTGGAGTAATAGTTACCCTAGCACGTGCACGTCCACGGGTGATTGCAGCCTGCAGCGTCCCCAGAAAGCCGACGAACAGTGGGGGTGTTACCTTTACTATATAGGTATGTAGACGGCTCATGCCAACTACTGCGGAATAATGCAGGTAAAACTGTTGCTCTTACTAACGACTGTCGCATGACGAGCGTGATGCTCGTTCACAAGTACAACCGTAGCTTTCACCTGCTATCTCCGACCAACATACGACAAACAATCGCATGACATGCATGTTCGATCTATCTGAAAGAACAACACGATGCTAAACATTGTGAAGATAGATATTCTAATGCTAGTATTTCATGCCCGGCGCAAGCTCCCCATGTCCCTACATACGCCTCACTCGAAACGCCTCTCCATGAACGCCTTTACCGCCATGTATTGTAGAACTGTGATATCAGAAAATTTCCCTCCAGCAATGATCAGGCTAATCATGTTTTGGCGCATAATCCCAAATATGACTCGAATCCCAAGATTCCGTCTCCTCTTTCCTCGCCTTGGGATCTTCACCTCTCTTCTTCGCGTCCTCTCTTAGGGTATCCAGTTCGCGGTCCTGGGCCGAGATCTCAGTCCTCAGCGCAGTAATCTTCGCAATCTCCTCTTGGGTAAACGCGGGATCCTCGCCATTCTTCTTCGCCTCTTCCTCCCTTTTGTTGAACTTGTCTAGTTCTGTGAATTTTTCATTTCGTGCGTCTTGTTTCTTGAAGTAATCGTTGAATTTGTCCTGGCCGCCAAAACAGATGCCGTAGCCGTCGCAGTAACACGTGTTCATGGCCGGACAATGCACTTCATGCCCTGTGAAGATGTAATGCCATATATACTCGAAGATGCGGCCGGAAAACTGGTCGTCCATGCCCGTTGTGAGGAGCCACTTGCGGTAGTGGATAAAGCGCTCAATGGGCACTTCCTGTATGCGCTGCCGCGACACGGCGAATTGCGCGCAGCAGATGCCGGAAATTGAAGGCGGGATGGGAGCACCAGGGTGGATCTCCTCCCAGATGTTGCGCCGCCAGTAGATCTCCTCGGGCTTGTGGAAGAAGTCAAAGTCGCCGCCGGGGCGGTCCATGTGGATCCAGTCCGGGCAGCCCGGGTCGTGGTGGCAGCGGACGTTCATGTAGCCCATTCGTGCGACGCGCTCGTGGTTGAGGCGCTTGATCATCTGTGCGGCGTCGAGGCCCAGGAGCATGTTGTTGTGCCAGGCGTGACGGTGGGCGTGCATGAAGATGGAAGTATCGGGGAGGTCGTCGTAGTGGTCGATGATGTAGGAGAGGTAGACCTGGTGGGTGGGTTAGAGTGTGGCCGTCTATGTGCCAGAGATGCAAACGTACCATAGCCTCACGGCCCTTGTTCTTGGGGATCTTGTGCTCGGCATTGGGGTTGTCGACTTCGTAGACGACGAGCGGTGCATCAGGTATCTCAGCGGCCATCCAGCTAATGTCCTCCTTCTGTGTCTTGGGCACGACAATCTTGAATGTGTAGTTGCTGCCGGGTGGCTTCTTCTCGCCGTCGCTGAAGCGCAGCGGCAGGCCAAAGTCGAGTGGGTCGCCGCGCAATGAGGGCCGATGTTGGTTTGTGGAGGCGCCAGATTTCCATGTTGGAATCGACGAGCCTGCGCCGGGCACCGTGTGGAGATACCACCAGACGAGGCAGACGGCGACGAAGAGGGAGACGAGTGGAATGATCCTCGGTGGTCCGCTAAGCATCTTGACGGGTACACGGCAGCCTTTCACCGCATTGATGGTTGTGGAGAGGTGTTCGAGACCGTGGTGAGGATCATTGCGCGGGAAGCAAGCGGCGCCGGGGTCGTCAACGTCGTCAGCTCTGCCTCGACTTACGGTGGAGCATCCCGTACTCAGTTGCGCGTCACTGGCGAGCCCGAAACCCACATCCTTGCATTAAACTCTCACTAGCCCTGGACCACAACCTGGAACCAAGCCTTTTCAACACCACCGTCCCGTGCAGTGCAACACTTGGCAGGGGAACTCCAATTTCAATTACTACAACTCAGCTACTATTTCTCTACTCTGTCCTCTGCATCATGTTTATTCCCTCTTCATCCCCACCCGCCCAATTCCCCTCAGCCCCCATCCCAACAGCAGCCCCGTGGCACAGCTTAATGCGAACAGATACCAGAACGCCGCCCGGAACCCCTCCATGAGCGCTGCAGGGCTCTCTTTCTCAACGTAGACCGAATGCTCGGTAACACTAGACGCAATAACAGCACTGGTCGCTAGGCCTACGCTTTTCCCAATCTGCGCTACTGTGTTAAAGACTCCGCCCGCGAGGCCCTGCGTCCGGGCCGGAAACACTGATGTAATGACCAGATTAGAAACCGTGAATAGGGCGTCCGCGCCAATGGGATTGAAGAAGACAGAAAGGAAGGCACAGCTCCAGTAAGACCACTCCGGCTGTATGATGCACATAAGCAGTCCGCCAAGAGTGGTGCAGAACAGCCCCACGGCTACCGCCCAGTCAGCGCGCACCCGGTGCGCAATCAGGCCCATTGCGACATTGGCGAGAGCTCCAGCTACAGGTCCGGGCAGGAACCGAATCGACGTCTGGATTGCGGATAGCTTTTGAACGTTCTGGAAGAAGAGAGTGTGGTATGATTCCACAGCATTGAAAGTCCCCCACGTGATGAAAACACCGATACAGATGATGCTGAAGATTCGGTTGCGCCAAAGCGAATTGGGGATGATGGCGGGCCGGCCCAGTCGCTCCTGGCGGCCGACCCAGAAGATGAAAGCAGGAATGAGAGCGATTGCAGTGATCAGCAGACCAAGCGTGGTAGGCTCCTGAATCTTTGCAGTCTCTTCGGAGATTAGACTGGTCATGTTAGCTTCTAGTTTCAGTTTCAGAGGCAAGACACCACTCACGCAAAGCAATATGAGAGCAGCGCCAATGACGCACTTCCGAACAGGATGCCTACCCAGTCTATGTCGCTCTTCAGGCGAGACCAGACATGCGGCAGCTTGTTGTCGACTTTTGGCAGACCAAACAAGCCAAGGACGAAGACAATGGTGTTGGCGATGGCACTGATGTGGAAACCCCATCGCCATCCGATAGTATCAGCGAAGATACCTCCAAGTACAAGCCCAAAAGAAAAGCCTATGGGCTGACCACCGCCCATGGACGCAAATGCAATGTTTCTGCTCTTGCCTTCAGGAAAAGTACTGGTGATGATACTAACTGCTGAGGGAAGGCAGAAGGAAATCGCGATGCCTGCGAAGGCGCGAAAGACAATGAGCTGTGTCCCTGTTTGTGCTAATCCACATGCCAGTGTAAACGCAGACTGTAAGAGACAGCCTGTCAGGTACATGGGCCGTGAACCGACGACATCGGCAACTGATCCGAGAAGGAGAAGAGTACAGCCACATGTCAAGGCGTAGATAGAGATAGGCCTGGTGTGCGTCAGCATGTGCGTATGGGACAGCACGTAATCGTATGTACCATAAGAGCACACTGGGTGCCAGCTCCAGTTCACGTGCAACTGTGGGTAGAGTAACAGTCATAACACCAGAAAGCATGGAGCTGACCAGTGTAACGCACACGACCGTTACCAATACGATGGCTGTTGTTCCTTTGCCTGGACCATCCCTCTGTTCGGCAGCGAAGGTTTCAGGAGATTCATGGATAGGTCGAAGATCATCAGCGATAGACGGTGTGTCATTAGTCTTTGCAACACCAAGTGGTTTGGCTGCGAGGGCTGGGATTGTTGTCTCATGGTAGTCCACAAGTTCAATTGACGTTGCTGTTTGCGACATGTTGAAAAGGGTAGGTGCGAATACTCGGACAGAGACGTTTAGAGCATCGCGAACATCTATACTATTTATCTTACTGGCGAGTCCCTACTAGTCGGAGATACTAGTCAACATAGAGCATGACGCTGTTGACATGGGCTACGCCCTACGCCCACGTATTACCCTTTGCCGGGTGTGAGATGACTGATTGGTCCAAGAATTCACTAGTTCAACAAAGTCTACTACGTTTCTAGAAAACGGCGGATTTCCGGTGACATCCATGCTGTAGAATGGCCCTTGGCTTGTATACCAAGCTGATGAATGTTCTTCCGTCAGCGTAGGATCGCGCTTGGACGCGGAAGCTTTCCGTCGCAAAGAGGTTAGGCGGGAAGATAAGATAGCCGCACCTTATCGGGCAAGCGCCATCCATTGCTGCAGGGATCTGATACCTGACACTTGGAGATGTCGAAGAGCACCAGGTAGAGGAGCCATCGTTCTGCTGCCTGTGCGGGGCATTCTCTTGTATATTCACTGTGGAAATTTGATGTGCTAAGCTGGTCATATTACACAATTGGCCGCAGGCTTTGTTCCCTCACCAATACCGTCTGGGCGTTATGCTACACGTTGCAACTTCTTGAGATCGAAAGTTGAACTTTCGAAACACCATCATCTTTCGTTATAGCTACGCGTAACCACCAAGTCTCCAGAGATTGGAGCCTACACCACATGATGCGAGCTTCGGCCTCTATACTGAGTGCGAAAGCTCTCTTAGTGCTCAGCGCGTTCAGGCACAGTGGCGCACATGCGGGCCCAAGTGTCAATGTCGCTCTTCGGGCTTCCTTCAACCCTGCGCCGTATCTAGTAGAGTTACTGTAAGCTTCAAGTATGCACAGATGGAGAGTTACATCTAACAACCACCAGTGAAACCGCTGCAGAGGAAAACGCGACAGCCTACTACCCCATACTCGACCGCATTTCCGAGGGCTACTTCGACGAAAAGAACACACAGCAGGAGCTGTACACGGCCTTTCGAGACCTCCTCCAGAGCGATGGACACATCGCCGACCCCGCAGCTCTTGCCTCATTCGAATTCGCCCTGTCAATCCAGTCGGCTGCGCCACGGATAGAAGCACACTACCAATTCTACAAGACTTCGGTGGAGCCATCGCTGGAAGCCACACAGACCAAGGCTTGCGACATCTGGACATCGTTCCACGGGAAGCAATACTGCGATGTACATCTGGAGGAGTCTTTTGGGGGCATTGAGAGCGAACGGTACGTACTGGTGATTTACTCGATTGACAGGTGCTAAGTACTGGACAGGACATATCAACTACCCTTCGACCGCATACTTGGCAACAGCTCGGCTCTGCCTGCCATCCTATACGCCGATATAACTGCTCCTCGATTCAAGAAGTGGCACAAGACATTGAGCAAGACGGCCAAGGAAGGAAAGACGTCGTACCGTGTCCGGCATAAGCCTTCATCCAACGCGCCAACAACACCATTGATAGTCAACGGATACGGTGTCGAGTTGCAGCTGAAGCGGACAGACTACATCGTCATAGATGACAGGCAGGCTGAGCAGGGACAGAAGAGTGATGCTCAGAAGCCGATAGGCACTGGCTTGGACGACGATGAAGATGTCGCGGACCTTAAGCCCTTGTCCAAGGACGAGGTATCCGAACTAGCATTGAAAGCTGCCGACTTTGTGGCTCAAAGCGAACAGCCAATGGACACCCTCATGAAGCTTGTGCAGGACTTTCCAAAGTACTCATCCGTTATTGCAGCTCATAACGCGTCGGATGAGTTTGTTGAGGAACACTTGGCGAATCGCAACCAACTTCTTCCTGCTGGTTACAACGTCATATGGATCAACGGCGTACAGATCCCGGCTCGCGATGTGAATCCGTACTCACTGTTGGCGCATTTGCGACGCGAGCGGAAGTTGATCAATGGAATACGCAGTCAGGGTTTGAGCGGTTCCGAGGTTGTATCTTTGCTATCACATGCTTCCATTGCGGAGAGCCAGACGGAAGACGAGCCTCAACGTTATGACTTCAGGGATACTAGTGAAGGGGGCAACATCATCTTATGGCTTAACGACATCGAAAACGACCCCATGTACGAGGGATGGCCAAGTGAGCTCAGAGCTGTCAGTACAACTATCAACTACATTGATTTCGGACTAATCGTGATTGCAGCTGCTGCAAAGAACTTATCCTGGCCAGCTCCCGTCTTGCCGAAGGGACATTCACAACGCCATCGTCTCCGTTGACTTTACCTCTACTGAAGATGTTTCGCTCGCTCTGGATACTATAATGAGTCTGATCAGGCGTGGTATCCCCCTACGCTGGGGTCTCGTTCCACAGACTGTCACATCGGAGGCTATAGACCAGACTAAGCTAGTCTATCATCTGCAGGATGCATACGGATTACCTGCTGTGATAGAATACCTACAAGTTGTGAGTGTTGGTCTGTCTGGGTATGCACGTATTTTGCGCTGACATCACGAGTAGTCTGCGGCGAAACCCGACAAAGCTGTCTTTGACACAACGGTCAAAAGAACTACACTTATCGAAGGGAAGGAAGCGTTGGCATTCGATGATGTACTCAAGTCCGAAGCTCTGGATCAACGTATCTCAGGTGCCAAACAGTACCTGAAGCGTCTAGCAGCAGAAGGCCCGAAAGCTCCCATCTTTGTCAACGGTGTTCCCATTCCAGCGACCGATGAATGGCTCCAAACACTCAGCCAAAGGATCGGCATGGATCTGCGTCAGATTCAGAAGGGTGTCTTCGACGGCGTCTTCAATGACGATAGTTGGGTTCCGCAATACTTCTTGTTCCAAGCCGCTGCTAAACGCAATCCCTTGATCATCCCAGAGAATGAGAAGAACATCACGCTCATAAACATGGCGGAGTTTGAAGAGGTACATGGCGAAGCCTACAGTAAGATGCCGCGACTTGATGCGTCAGAGTCTGCTAGCAAGAGTGACTGGATTCATGTCACGCTGATAGCGGACTTCGACTCTGAGGCTGGGTTTGCGCTTCTTAAAGCTCTAGCAGATTTTCATGAGGCCAACCCGAATGTTGAGGCCGTCCTCATACATAACGATAAAGCGGGTGCGGAGCGATCCAACGCCTCAGAAGATCTATTGGAAACATACATCAAATCCGGTCGCAAGCTCACCAACGAAGCCCTGTCTGGACTCCTGGGCAAAGAGGTCAATTATGGACCCACTCCCGCCAATTCAACCTTGTTCTGGAAAGTTGCTGAGCCGATATACGACGCTGTCGGTCTGAAGCCAGGACAAAATGGCTTACTTGTCAATGGCCGCTATGTTGGTCCTATCCCAGAGGACTACACGTTCTCACAGGATGACATGGAGACTCTGGTCACCTATGAGACTACCAAGCGCATTGAGCCTTTGAACAAGGCGCTTGCTGATCTTCAACTTATGGACAAGATCGCGTCTCCTCTAGATGTTGCAAAGATACAATCGCTTGTTGCGCTGTCCACTGTGTCAGATGTTCCAGAAGGCATATTCGAGACTGCATCCACTTTGAGGATGAGCACATACAACGACTGGAAGTCCAAGTACACCGCTATTGTCAGGGGTGAGGAAGATAAAGCTGTTTTCCAGATTGTGGCTTCCATCGATCCGGCTACTGAACAGGCACAAAAGTGGGTACCAATCCTCAAGGTACTTAGTGACATGGACGGCGTACACCTTAAACTTTTCTTGAACCCCAAGGGGATGCTGCAGGAACTTCCTGTCAAGCGTTTCTACAGATACGTTCTCGAAGCCCGTCCACAGTTCACTCATGATGGATCTGTTGGCCGTCTGGGAGCTCACTTTGGTGGCATCCCTAAGGAAGCCCTGCTGAACCTTGGCATGGATGTGCCACCATCATGGCTTGTCGCTCCTGAAGAGTCTATCCATGACCTCGACAATATCAAGCTTAGCACGATCCCTGCTGGTACCAACATCGACGCTATATATGGATTGGAGAGCATTCTTATCGAGGGTCACTCCCGTGACACCACAAATGGGGGACAGCCACCGCGTGGTGCTGAGGTCGTCCTTGCTACTGAGCGCGACCCTCACTTTGCCGATACTATCATCATGGCCAACCTAGGCTACTTCCAGTTCAAAGCCAACCCTGGATTCTACAACATCAAGCTCAAGAGTGGCCGCTCTCAAGAGGTCTTCAACCTTGACAGTGCAGGTCCGATCAGCTGGGCTCCTCAGCCTGGTGATGAGACTACCGAGATCGCACTTATGAGCTTCCAGGGCGCAACAATCTTTCCCCGACTTTCACGCAAACCAGGCCAGGAAGACACTGATGTACTCGCTCCTGAGGAATCGCTCGCCTCTGAGCTGGTCGGCAAGAGCGCACAAAAAGTCAACAAGTTTCTCGGCAAGATGGGTCTCAACTTCGACTCTGAAAAGGTCCTGCAAAAGGGCGCCGACTTGTTCTCTGGAGGCAAGACAGCGAAGAAGGGCACTCAAGCAGACATTAACATCTTCTCCGTCGCGTCAGGCCACTTGTACGAGCGCATGCTCAACATCATGATGGTGTCTGTTATGAAGCATACAAACCACACTGTCAAATTCTGGTTCATTGAGCAGTTCCTGTCCCCCAGCTTCAAGTCCTTCCTCCCGCACATCGCTGCTGAGTACGGATTCGAATACGAGATGGTCACATACAAGTGGCCTCACTGGCTCCGTGGACAAACCGAGAAGCAACGCGAAATCTGGGGCTATAAGATCCTCTTCCTCGATGTCTTGTTCCCTCTAGATCTTGAAAAGGTCATTTTCGTCGATGCCGACCAGATTGTAAGGACCGACATGTTCGAGTTAGTGCAGCACGACCTCGAAGGTGCACCTTACGGCTTCACACCCATGGGCGACTCACGTACCGAGATGGAAGGCTTCCGCTTCTGGAAGACAGGCTACTGGGCGAACTTCTTGCGTGGTCGGCCATATCACATCTCCGCACTTTACGTTGTAGATCTCAACCGCTTCCGTCAGCTGGCCGCCGGTGACAGACTGCGTCAGCAATACCATTCCCTCTCCGCCGATTCTAACTCGCTTTCCAACTTAGACCAGGATTTGCCAAATAATATGCAGTTCAATCTGCCCATTCACAGTTTGCCTCAAGAGTGGCTGTGGTGCGAGACATGGTGTAGCGACGAAGATCTTGCCAAAGCAAAGACTATTGATCTGTGCAACAACCCACAGACCAAAGAGCCCAAGTTGGATCGGGCGAGAAGGCAGGTTCCAGAGTGGAACGTGTATGATGAGGAGATTGCAGCGTTGGCAAGGAGGGTTAAGGGAGAAGAGAAAGAAGAGGTGGTGGATGTGCAAGAGGAAGAGCAGAGGAGGGAGAAGAAGGAGAAGGATGCTGAGATTGAGCACAGTGAGTTGTAAGATAGATGATACACGTAGTGCAGGGAAGCGCAGCTTGATATCAGTAGAGTGAAGAGTGGTCACAATATTGAAAGCGTCGCAAATCTACAGAGGCACGCCTATCTCCCTCTTGGTTTGTTTTGACAGCGGCACAAGACTCGTCTTTCAAATCATTTCGAGGTTGGTGTTTCGCTGGCCAGTCTAGTTATCATTCGCCAGACCCTCGATATCAAAAGGGCCGATCGAGCTGTCTTTCCCGACCACCACTACGATGATCGACCACACCACATGCGGTAATAACGTTCAGGAGGCTTGCACGCGGAGCGAACAATCCACAACCGGTTTCTGCAAATTCCTGAATTCACGCGAGCCCTGATGCGATGAGACAATAAACCACACATGTTCGGGTCTCGGCTCCTCTAGCGCGTACTGGTCCCCGTGCCGGTGCCGACTGTACCTGGGACTCGGTGGAGCAGGTAGGCTCATGCCAAGACAAGTATGACATCAGTGCTCAAGCGTCATAGTCGCAAAAGACGTAATGTGGAGGTGCCATGAGGCGCTGGGCTGGGTGTGTAAGACGTAGCTATATAAAGCTGGCATTGACTTGTATTTGTACAACATCATCATACACTCATCAAACGAATCTATACCATTCTTCTCGAACTGCTTCACCACCCGAACAAATCAAACTACACATCGCTTTCGTATCAACATGTCTGGACAAGGAATCTCTCACCAGGGCATCACCGCCCCCGGTCTCAGCGAGGCGGACCAGAACATCAACAACACCACCGAGGACATTAGCAACAAGGCTTCGGGACACAAGGCCAACTTGAGCAACCCCAGTATGTTTCTTCTTCGTTATATATGATGGCATCACTATAGAAAAAGAAAACTAACGTCTGGCTAGACACTAGCGAGGAGTCCAAGAAGAAGTCTGCGGAGGCGCTCAAGGCGCTCGGTGGTGAGGATGCTTTCTACGGAAAGCAGGGTAAGGGCGAGTAAGGGATGAAGAGTCCCAGGAGAAGAGGAATGCATTTATGATACCATATGAGCTGAATATATTGTCTTTCAACACTTATTTACTGTCTTTGGGCGAAATGGTCTACAAGTGCCGTGTTAGTGGAACCAGTATAGCTACATCGTTCTGTTGGTATGTGATTTCCAGTGGAGACGACTGGGATTTCGTAGAGATTCAAGAAGGCCTCAAGCAATGATCGCGTTGACGATGCATCAGGCATGGTGTTCTCGTGGCACAAGGCGATGACGTCATCAACCCTGTTGTCTCCTTCCCCACACCTCCACCCCAGCCATCCAATCTCCCCCGACTTCAAAGTACTACTACAAAGAAAAGCAACCACGATCTCGTCTCCCATCAATACATTGCAAAGCCACACATCATCATCACCATCATGTCCTCAGCCCACCCAGAGATACCCACCCTCCACTCCAAAGCCGAGTATCTCCGCGCCGTAATGTACGAAGGCGTCACGATCCTCGAAGGCACAGCAACTTGGTGCAAAAACTGCCACATCATCGCGCCCGAAGTCGCTAAGATGGTGACTGAGTACCCAAATGTCAAGTTCTACACGTATGATGTTGAAGAGTGTGAGGATATCGCGCAGGAGTTGGGGGTGAGGTCTATGCCGACGTTTAGTGTGTTCAAGGATGGGGATATTATGGAGGGGGTTACGGGGGCGAAGCCGAAGGAGATTAGGAAGGCGATTGAAGGGTGTTTGTAGGTGCGGACGAGGATTTGGAGAAGAGGGAGGCTTGGTGAGGGTGAGAACAGCAATAATTTGAGAGGGGCTAACGAACCTACTCGTGTTGTTGTGGGACTCATGGCGGCAGCAGCTCAATTTTCGAGAGCTTTTGATTTGTTGATAGCTGCTCTCTTCGTTGTTGAGATGTGTGCGTCAAAAAGCGGTGGAGTTGCGGCTACCTCTCGCGGAGGTGAAAGCGACTTAGAGAAGCGAAGAGAGCGTTTGCACGTAGATTCTCGCACACTGAGCGGCCATCTCTAGATTTTCTACTTGAGCCTTTTACGCCGATGCCCTCCCGGAGTCTCGCTTACCATCGTATCGCATCGTTTCCACGCACGCCGATAGATCGTCGTGATTACTTGGAAACAAAAACTCGCCTGATAACATCAATGTACAAAGCATCGCTGGCATTCACAGCAGTATGGCGGGACCTGGAAGGAACAGACCACTCACAATGTTGAAATACACCATCAGGAGGCAGATGATCAAACTTGCGGTATACGAACAGATAATCGCGCGACCAAGCAACACGATCGAAAATGAGTGTACGTCAATTATCAAGGCCAGACAGCAGATCTTGCAGGCAACGCTCAAGGCCAATCAAAAACGATACACGAATATGGTGGTGATGTCTCCCATGAAACATCTACCCCAATACTATCACGTACCGGCAATCTCAATCTCAGAACTATCACGATTCACGTCCACTGAAGTAAAAGCCTTTGAGGATGTTACCACTATCCATCTCTCACTCGTCCAACTCACTGTCAATCGCGCTGCCTTAGAGCAAGAGATTCGAAACATCAGATCGAAGGAACGAAGGCAAACCGAGCCTGTCAAGTGGATAGATGCTGTGGAAGATGCCAATGAGATACAGGATATTAAGAGCATCATCAAGGAGTGTGGAGACACAATGCGGGAGCATGAGTCCTGGATCATGTCCCTTCGTTTGAACGCGTGGGCAGCGACAAACGCGGCGAACCGTGTGGCTAAGAGTGACGTCGGGATGCCTAGGATCAGTACACGATCTCCTTCACCTGCACCCGCAGCCATCGCTGCTACCCCTTTGTCTGCACCCACTCCAGCCACTACTGCGTGTGACATAGTTATCTTCGAGCCCGTCAAAATCGCCTCTGTTCAGGTTGCGGTCGCAGATATACCTCCTGAAGTTAAAGCCGCCGCGAAGGATATCAAAGCCCGTAAGGCTTCAAATGTTGTAGCAACTGTCCCAAAAAGCACGACTGCTATCACCAAAGTGGAAAAAACGCTCTCGAGTATCACGCTGTGCGCGGCAAGAAAGCAATACGCCAACGTCAAGAACGTAGAGCGAACAAAATTTGTTGTTGGCGACATCGGCTGGTTTCCCATTCTACGCCCCTCTGTATCTAAGTCTTCATCCGACATCTATACCGAGTTCGGCAACATCTGCGCTAAATCATATCCACTCATCATTGTGGAAACGCTGGAGGATTGCATGCTAGGTCTTGTCATCTCCACATCGAACGGAAATGGCTTGCGCCTAAAGTGCGATGCTGTGAAAAGCCGAAGTGCTCTCCTCGTCAGTGAAACATCACGGAATTCTACCTTTTCTGACTGGGGCCAAGAATTAATTCCTAGAAAGATGCTTCGGGTCAAGTGTTCCAGCGAATATAGCCCGGCCGCGGGCGCTTACGTTGACATGCTGAATGTAATTATGATACCCTATGACACAAGGTTCCAGAAAAAAGGGTATCTGATTATGGAAGACGTTCTTGTTCTTCAAAGGATGAGACTCTCAGCGGTGCTCGCAGCATCTGGAGCTGGAAAACTGGGAAGTATACCCAACTTTTGGCAGTGGTTGGGACGATGGTATCAAAAATGGTGCAAGGCAGCGTAGATGGTGGCGCAAGCATCAGAAGAACCACACAAACTAGAGCAAATATACGTAAAGATGTCAATTAATGGAAGATCTGAATCAATCTGGGTGGACACGTACGTACTTCACACTTTGCATCGAGACCAACGGGGTGCCTCTCAGTATGCGATTTCTGAATATCACTGTACGCTGTACCTGAGCGTCGACGTTCCCAGTACTATCTACCTAGTGTGATTAAGTCTGATAATGTTCCCACTAGTGAGCCTCGTGTTCAAAGGTCAGCCAGTCATTCGGTAGCCGTCACGCTCGCTCCAATCCCACGTGAGACTGTCGGAGCAAGCATGCAAGAGATACTTAACACGACCGACCTACGTAACGAGAGATCATTCATACGCGTTCATTTTCTTGTTTCTGTATATAAAGCGCGTTCTATATTCATGAAGCGGTCAAGTTGCGGCTCACATCGCGCACCAATCATCGCCAAGGCAACGCTGCGTTTGCACTCTATACGACTAGAATACACCACATAACACCTTCCAAACTCTTTGGTGGCAGTCACAACAGTAACATTCTCCTCTTTCTTGCCTTTGACGACTATCTCTGCCTTATACGCCGTTTCCTTCGGTACCTACCTAACTACACCAATCTACGTAATCGACATGGACTTCCTAGGCGACACCTCTCTCCATGACTACAAGCCCGTATCGCCAACATGGCCTGCCGCAATCCCTGGACATGCAGCAAATCTTCAGAACATAATCATGAACGAAGCTCTCGCGATCGAGTTTGAGCAAGGTCGGATGAGGTCACTATTGCCACAGTACAACAAGATGAAGTGGGACGGAGCGACTTCCAGTGAGCTATCGGATAAAGAGGCAGAACTAGAGGGAACTTCAGCGAAGCTCAGAAGCTGCATTCAAAACTTTGAAGCTTATGTGGCAGTATGGGACAGAACAGTCGGCAATACGGAAGAGAAGGGAGCGAAAAGGAAGAGAGCTGCTCAGGATGGAGTGGATGATGAGGGATCACCGACGCGCGCCACCAAAGCAAAAACCTCCGAGACGGAAACCGCGTCGGATTCGCCTCAATTTGAAGAACCATCTCTTCCTATGCAGCGTCCCATCGTTCAAAACAGGTACAAGATCGTGCACAGCATCGACCCCAAGAGCATCAATGTCGGTGATATTGGCTGGGCACCACTGCCACGTATGGCCTATGTCGGTTCTAGACACAAAACCATACCGTCAGAATATGGCAACGTGAGCATCAAGATCTACCCGTTCATCATCGTCAAAAAGCTCGACGACTGCATGCTTGCCATCGTTATCTCGACTGCCGGAGGCCGAGGTCTCAAGAAGAAGGACGCCTCCGTACGCCAGCGAAGTTGCTACGTCACTGGACCCAACTTCAAGGGATTCGACAATCCGCCGTTTGGCTGGGCGATGAGTCCTCGATGCCAGAACTTAGTGGTCAAGGGGACAGGTTATGAACCTGCACCAGGCGCTTTTGTTGACATGCTGGACAGCCACAAGATCTACTACAATTCCAGGTTTGAGAAGAGTGGGTCCCTTACGATTCAGAGTAAGGTCGACCTGGGACGAATGAGGTTGTCGGCACTGCTTTGGGGTGCGAGTGAGGGCTGATACCGGGTGACAGTAATGGTCTGTGATGAGGTCTGTGAGGTAGTTTAGTGTACATCCAGTAATCATGATCGGCTAGATGTCAGTTACTTTCAGCCATGTAGGCGTTTCTAGTTTTCTTTCCCACATCTTTACGTATGCCTCAGTTCACTTATAGGCCTAGCAACAACCCATAACTCCAGCATATGTCGACCAGAATCGACTATTGGAGCGAAGGATTGCATGACTCTACAGACCTTACGTATATTGCCCAAGTACCACTTCAGCTTATCTCAATCATCCTTTCACACATACTAGTCATCTAGGTCTATAGTTAACTAGCCCCTTTGATGTTGCATATGCTGTCTTCAACGGCGTCTCGAAGTTCTCTGTACAAACGTGCGCATACTTGCAGTTCCTTAAACGTCCTGCAATCTGCTAGAACGCTCATGGGATATTTCGGACACTCTTCCCACATAATCTCTTCTATGCGTTGTTCCCGTTGTTGCGATGACAATCCAACAAGACGAAGATCAGAACAAGCCGAGAAGTCTAGGAGAGCATCTATATGCTTGCCCGTGACGTTGTCTAGTTCGACGGCATCGACCATGATCAGTTCAGCCTTGGTCAGCCCAGAATTCTCTGATCGCAGCGAACTTGGTGATGCCAACCAAGCTGCACTATGAGTTACGGACTGCCATTGTCAGAATTGTTGCAATTATGTAGATTCCTGGCGCTTACCTTAATCTCTAGTGCATCCCCTTTAAGATAATAACAGTGATGTTTCAACGCTATATCGTATCCTGAATTCCTGCTGGCTTTGATCTGTAGGGGTACGTTCAAGCGGTACCACATTTCGAGTCTTCTACGATCAACAATGCCAGTTCTCTGGATGTCATTTTCATAAATATCACCCAGGTATCGCCACTCATCCAATTTCCGTAATACGATAGAGTCCTTACGTTTGAGGCTCAGCTCTTCGGGGCTTTGAGCAGTGTAGTCTTCCAAGCTCCAAGCTGCGATTGTTCCAATATGGAGATAGCTGATCGCGCTTGTGAACGAAGCACTCCAAGGAGCAAACCTAGGAGTCTTAGCTTTTAGGGCAGAAGCTGAATCCTCCTTAGTAATTGGCGAGTCTATAGTACGATCCGAATCATTGTTGTATATAATCATGCTATCGTCAGCGACAGTGTTCGCCTCGTCAGGTTCGATATCTGCTGTCTGTTTCATAGTGTTGTTCAATGCCTTCGAATACACGCCGGATTTTGGAAGATCGGATTCGAAGAGACTTCCAGAATGATGGCCACTAATGTTAGTACGGATCGGGAGCTTGCTGAAGATACTGCTCGAGTCATCGGTACCCAGTATGGAGTCCGCCGCTTCTATCGAATGGGCTTCCCGCATACGTTGAGTGTCATTCGCAATTCTTTGGAGCATTTTGCCATGCTTTCGGATAAGTTTCTTCATTTCGGTCAATGAATCCCTACGAGGATTAGCCACCCGTTCGCGATCTTTTACGCTGTATTGCAAAATGATCTTCACTTACATTTGTAGTAGCCCAATCAGTGCGCCGATGGCAGTATGCTGTTGATGCAGCTGCCTTTGGAGCTCTTTGACTTCATCATCATTCCAAAGCGTCTTAAACTTTGCCTTCCAATTCAGTCTGGAGGTAAAAAGGACACCTTTTGTGATTTTCAGCATGTACTTCTCAAGCCATGTTGAAACCACCAAACAGCTTGTCAGAGTCGTGTCCAACGTCTCGATCAATGCCGGCTTCTCATGGAGGACATCTGTGTCACTCAGGAGTAGCGACTGGATCTGCGAGAGCGAGGCACCCGTGAGTTTAAGTTGCGAACAGAGTGAGGATACAGTAACAGGCGCGCGTTTCCACGCGTTACGAATTTCGTTGAGCTCTTTGGCAGCTACAACGCAGGTCGTCGTGATCCGAAGCTAAGGGTCTCGTCAGCTAGGCACTGCAGCTTTGATGGAGACCTTCCACTTCGCAACACTTAACACAGCTGTCGTGATGCTCAAGGGATCCATTTGAAGGCCGGTCTGGTATGCACAGGCGAACTTTCCTTTGCAGCCCGTCAATGACCGGGTTACCGTATACAAGGGAAATTCCGAGGAGCTGGAGTAACTAGTCTTCCCTACTGCAGTCTACAACAGTACATTCTAAAATCATACTAGATATTCTAAGTTAATATAGACTTCAGGCCCTAGTATCTACATAAATAATAATGACATTAGTGCTGTTGTAGACTGTAAATCAGTAAAAAGCTCTGGCGTACCTCTTCAATCTCTCCCTTCTATGCGGTGGGGTGATTGATGAGCTATCTTCTGTGATTCATAGGGCAGATACGCAACAAGACAAGTTCCCGTTCGTGAGGTGTAAGGAAAACCATCCCAAGCGCCATGAGGATGCGGCCCTCCAGGCTGATAAAGAGGCATCTGGATGCTGCCTCCTATTCGTGCACCGCCCCAATCCTGAACGTGACGCGCAGGGTAAGTTTCATCGCATACACAGCCTCAACTTGAGGCTTTCCAGGGCAACCCGCACGACGAATGGTGAGACGTAACAAACATATTGATGGAACTAAGAGTTGAACGGGCACTCGAAGAGTCGGGCCGCTAGCACGCTTGGAGTGCCCCTTCTATAACTCGTCCCAGATTACGTCACACGGCACGATATCAGCCATGGCTTTTGGACGTTTCGTGAAATTGTGATATGCCTACTACATGGTTACGCTGCTGAGCTCTCTGCATACAATGCAATGCTGTATAGTATGCCCATTGTTAGGCGCGTCCCGCAGAGTGCATGGCTGCTACCATCATTACATACGTCTCTCGTGAGTGACGTGTCCATGCCCAACAAGACCAACGTTCCAACCAGTGACATGGTCTCTGCATGTAAGGTCTACATTGACCCGTCCCTCACGCAAGACCCGAGTTGACTGGCTTTAACCTCCCTTTCTAGGGGCGTTAGGCACAGCAACTGGTGCGCGAGCAGCTCCTCCCGAAGCCGCACCCTTCTTACGCTGATAGAAGCGTTCGACAACTTTACGGACGTGGTTTTCAGCCTGCTGCTTGTCGCTGGGTGCCTTGATATTGTCGAGCGTGTATGGGGCTTGAATAAGAACGGAGTCGCTAACGACGATCTGTGTGTCTGCCCATCGGGTCGGTAGACTGTGTTACGGGTGTCAGTTCAGATGGCTTGTACCTGTATGTTCTGCTGTGACTCACGTTCTCGATATAGCATCGAACAGCTCCTGTGCTTCGGGACTAACTCCCTTGCCCTTCTGCATATCCTTCTTCTTCATCTCGCGGATAGTCTGGTCTTCGCGGGCTTGTAGCGCGGCTAGATCTACCTTGGAGATGCTGGGAAGCGCTCCATCAAAACCCGGTGCGGACTCAGAGGCCCGCTCTCCTGTGCCAATGATCTCGAAAGATTCAATGTGTGCGAATGGGATGATGTGGTAGTCGCCAGGCTGGCTGAAGATGGAGGCGGAGGGGTTCGGCGGGGCAGGGGCGGTGTTGATGGCTATGGCGTGGGTGAGGTTGCAAGCCGTGAAGAGGGTGCCCTCGAGGACGTTCTTGCCAGGGGCACATGTTACTTTGATGCTGGGGTGCGTCAGCTGATGTCCCAATTCCAAGATATCTCAAAGTGAGCAAAACGTACCGTGATCCAACGGCCTTGTACAGGTCGGAGTCTGCGCCAATGACATCTTTGCCCGAGCTCGTGCCGGCTTTGAGGTTCGGCGTCGCGACCTTACCCGCAACGCTGTTGCGCTTGTTGTCCGCCATGGTAATCCTGCTCTTGTATCTCCCGTCTCTCGTCTAGGCGATTGTATATTACGGGCAGCGGAGGCTGGCTCGTTGCTCCGCTACAGATGTTTCGTCAGCACCCAAATATTGCCCAGATGTACTCTCGAGGACCTAACGCCAGAGACTCATACAAGCAGTGAATATACAATCCAAAGGAATGAAAGAAATGAAAACGCGACAACACACGCGCAACCGGGTGGGAGGGCAGCGCGAGTGTGGCGGAGCTATCGTAGCTCGGGGCGGATGGGTTGATGTTGTCGTGATGCGCTGCAACTTTCCGTGGTCGCGATGCCAAGCCTTGACGCAGGGCGCTTGCTGTTGGACCAATTATACTGTGTATGCCTCTGGACACGCTTTCCGTCCCGACTGTTTTCTAATCGCTGGGAAGCCGATGCGCGTGCGACCTCGTAACAATGTCACTTCATAGTGGGGTGGATACTCAAGGGTCTACCTAGAGTTACCCGATGATCAATACCGGAATAGGCTAGCCGGCTCGAGTAACAACACAGCGGTCAAGCCAAGCTTCAAACATTCACCAGATGTCTGCAAACATTGGACATGCGAATCATTATATTCATTCTAAATTTGAGGTATCACACTCCTCATGCTCAATATCAAACATGAACACGGGGCGACCTTCTGTTCCCCTCCAACAAGCAATGGATATCCCTTTTTAAGCGTTGTAGGTAGAAGCAGAGATGTTTCCACCCCTTCCGGTCCAGTTGACGTGGATGTCCTGACCCTCCTTGTAGGTCTCGTTGGCGAACTCGGGCTTGATCCTGAAGGTGTGGGCACCGAAGTAGTCACGCTGCGCCTGCAACAGGTTGGCGGGGAGGTCCTTGGCGCGGTATCCGTCGTAGAAGCTCAGAGCGGTGCTGAAAGCAGGGGTGGGGATACCCCAGAGGGCACCCTTGGAGACAGTGTCTCTCCATCCGGCCTGAGCCTTGTGGATAGCCTTGCTGAAGAAGTCGTCGAACAGCAAGTTCTCGAGCTCGGGGTTCTGGCGGTAAGCCTTGGTGATTTCCTTCAAGAAGACGGAGCGGATAATGCATCCACCGCGCCACATGAGGGCGATCTCTGGCTTGTTCAGCTTCCACTTGTACTCCTTGGCGGCGTTCTGGATCAGCATGAAACCCTGAGCGTAGGAGATGATCTTGGATGCGTAAAGAGCCTGCTCGAGGTTGTCGATGAAGGCCTTGCGGTCACCAGAGAAGCTGGGGGTAGGGCCATCCAAAAGACCGGAAGCACGGCCACGCTCCTGCTTGAGCGAACTCAGGCAACGGGCGAAGACGGCCTCTCCGATCAGGGTAACGGGCATACCGAGATCGAGCGCGTTGATGGCGGTCCACTTTCCGGTACCCTTCTGACCGGCAGAGTCCATGATCTTCTCAACAATGGCAACACCATCGTCGTCATTCTTGTACATGATGTCGCGGGTAATCTCGATCAGGAACGAGTCGAGAACGCCCTTGTTCCACTCTGTGAAAACGTCGCCGATCTCCTTGTTGCTCATACCGAGACCGCGCTTCATGATGTCGTAGGCCTAATTTTGTCAGTCGTGTTCTTGTTCTCGGTACAACCAGCTCGTCTCACCTCGCAGATCAACTGCATGTCACCGTACTCAATACCGTTGTGAACCATCTTGACGTAGTGACCGGCACCCTCGTCACCGACCCATTGGCAGCAGGCCTCGCCGTCGGACTTTGCGGAGATGGACTGGAGGACGTCCTGAAGAATTGTCAGATATGCCCTATATGCGTTTCGTAGATTCGTACCTTGATGTATGGCCAGGCCTCCTCGTTACCACCGGGCATGATGGAGGGACCGTAACGGGCACCCTCCTCTCCTCCAGAGACACCAGTTCCGACGAATCGGATACCCTTGGACTTGAGGTAGTTTGTGCGGCGGTTGGTGTCGGGGTAGTGGGAGTTACCACCATCGATGATGATGTCGCCCTCCTCGGCGCCTCCCTCGAGGAGGAGCTCGATGAAGTCGTCGACGGGCTTACCGGCCATGACGAGCATCATCATGCGGCGGGGCTTCTTGAGCTTGGAGACGAACTCCTTGATGGAGTGGGCGCCAACAATGGACTTGCCCTTGGCCTCTGTTATTTGTTAGAGATGTCCGTAGCGATTCATGGATGAGGCTTACCATCGTTCAAGAATCGGTCGACCTTGGCAACGCTATCTACCTGTCAGTGTATGTCCCTGGCGCGGTGTATCGAAGCGCTTACGTTCGGTTGAAGGCGACAACGGTGAAGCCGTGATCAGCACTGCGTTTTGTTAGTATTAGTCTGATGTGGTTTTGATGTGGGTCGTGACTTACGCGTTGAGGATCAAGTTCTGGCCCATGACCTACGTACGTGGTCAGCATGGCTTCTTTCTCAATGAGTTGGAGGTGAATGTCTCCGGATAATTTGGGCCATTCCTCTAATGGCTGACAAGAAGATGTGAAGACATGCACTTGATACCGCATCCTCCGTGAACGCGACCGGATTAGGGATTACTTACGGCCAAGCCGATGAGGCCGAAATCTCCGACAGGCTCAGAAGACATGATTGCTGTTCTCGTGTGGGTATAGGTGTTTGGATGAGAAAGTTGTGGCGGGGTAGAGTTGCAGCGACCGGGCGTGCAACACGAGAG